AAACCAGTATCTGATCGATACACAATGTTTGGTAGATGCTTTCAAACCCAAAATTATAACTTTAACTCCTGAAACCGCTGTAATCTTTCATTCACTTTTACAGTAAAAATACTAATAAGAAACTGCTCACGTTTTGTTTTTGGATGTAAAGAAGGAACGATGGAATACATTAAAGACATCAAAAATACTCAACGAATAAGCAAAACTATGTCGTTCAAAAGCAGTGCAGTTGTAAACCGCCAGACTTTGAACAGACAGCCTTCACGGCTAACAGTGAATACTTAACATTTAGATAACTGATAGTATTTATTTTCAACTTCGGTTGATTTGTAAGTTTGAGCTGCCATTATTTTTTGAGATTATTGATACTTGTGTCAAGCTCAAACTACCCAAACTCATGGATAACATTGTGAGATTGTAAATTTGCAATATAATAATAATTATTAATCATAAAATAGGTTAATTGTTAATAACATAGTTTACTAAATGCCTGTTGAATATGATATCGTGAATATATACTTAATCCATTCTAAATAAAACAATTGTAACAGGTGAATTCGACTAGCTAAGTTTTCAGAATTAGTTTTGAAGTGAATATTTTTGAAGTTGTATAAAATAATAAATACACTTAGATTATCGACCTTACTTCATCTGTCGTGTGTTTAAGGTTGTGGCACACATTTATTCTTACCTGAATAATTGAATGTATTCTCAAGGAATTTATTTATTTCGAAATAATCTAATAATCACTAGTATACTTATTTATTGTTAATGCATTTTCTTACTTTCAATTCTTTTTTGTAATTGTAGATCCTTTTGGAACATTTAGAAAATTTAGTAGCTCGTCATGAAAGATCACTTAGAATGACCGTGGTCAAACGACATACATTAACAACAATGAGTAGTAGCAGTAGTACAAATTCATTGATTCCAATTGGCACAGATAATGAAACCGTATGCTCTGAAATGGATACTTTAAATTCTTCATCGAATTATGCCATGAATACAACAACTCCAGCATCAACAAGTCCTTCATTAGCAGGATTAGGTTCAGAAGCAGAAGTTTTAAAAGCATTGAAATCTTTATTTGAACATCATAAAGTTTTAGATGAAAAAGTTCATAATCGTTTAAGAGTATCACAAAATAAAGTGATTGATTTAGAGAATGAATTATTTGAATTAAAACGTTCAACAATAAACAAGAATTCTACTGTAAATATGTCTAATAATAATAATAATGTAAATCAAACAATGATATCTAGTCAAACACAAGTTGACTATGATTTCATTAAGAATAATAATACAGATGTAATGAATAATTCTGATCAAGTTCAAAAATTCTCTATTGAAGGTAAACTTGAATAAAGTGAAAAGAAATATTTTATTTTTTTGATTGATACTGTTTTCTTCGTAACTTTTCTCTATTCTATCAGGTATCCTAGATGTAACCTAAATGAGTAGCGGTTTCATTAACTGATTCAGCCAACAAAACAAACACGCAGTATACTAATAATTCAAGGGTTGATTTAATTCGTATTTATAAAATACAAAGAATGCGACTGTGTTATCATGATGCGGTTTTTTTTTGAATGCTACAATCTGCATAGATTATTGGATAAAAATTGTACGACATAAGTTGTAAATGAACATGACAAAGACTTTAATCATATGCTATTGATAGATAATATGAGATTACAGCTATGAGTAATATATAATGATGATGTTATGTAACAACTATAAGATAGTTGAGAAACCAGATTTTCATAAAGGTATTTTAAATGAGGCAAATAAAAAAACCACTAAAAACAACCTTTTTATCCAAAATACAATCAAATAGTTTTAGTCTACAGTGTGAAGTTGTCCAAGCACAAAAGTGTGGAAACAATGATAACTTGTTTACAAATTATTTATTTTGTTAATCAGATAAATAAGTAAAACAAAAGCTTATTTTCTATAATGAGCATTCTATAGAGAGGAGTATAAATTTTAACTGTTCATCAACCTCTTCACAGTAGTAGTTATTCACATTTACCATTTACCAAAACATAGCTTATCGATTTGCACTGGGTGAAATTCATCTCTCCTTTAAACAAGCTTTTCATTGTAACAAATGTTATTCAACTAAAAAAACAAAATAATTGCAGTTGAATAAACATAAACAATAAATTGGATATTTAGTTTTTTTTTTGAAAATTATCTGACATTAAATGTTTATAATCTATGGATAAAAATTATGAGGTCAATAGTTCAAATTTACAAAAGTGAAATCAGTATTTTTTTTGTTTGATGTAATCATCAATATACGGGAAATAACCGATTACATAATCGAAAATTTAATGCTCAATTAAATATAGGCTAATCAATAGTAAGGTAATTGATCTAATCCACAGTTAGTTACTGTCATTACACAGATCTTATGGAGATTGTTGGCTTTTCTAATGTGTCTAAATTCAATCTATGGGGCCAGAGGGATGCCAGATCAGTGATTTAAATGTCAAGAAATTATTGGCCCTGAGTTCGATTCCCGATGAGTTGCTTCATAACTAGAACGAACTAGCTGTTCTATGCTTGCTGTTTTCCAATGATTGTCTAACTACGAGCACTTTGCCGTACTTTAACATCCTAACTTTCCTCATTTTCAGCTTTTAGTAATATATTAAAAATTGTTGTTTCATACTCGCTAAAATATAATCACTACATTTAATTTTCTAATTAGAAACTACTCCATTATCACAAGGATCAGTCGGAATAAGTAAAAATTCGGAATTATTATCATCGCCACCAGTCTCGAATATTCCTTTATCAAATCTGGTCTACGAATCAGCATCAGCAGTTGCTATTGAAGCAGCAAACAGAATTAAAGAACTTCAACAGAATCTTGACCAACGTGTAAGTTTCCATTGGAAATTTGAGTATAAATGATTTTTACAGTGGAATTAATCAAAACATATAACTATTCGATTGTTACTATGTTTATAATAGTTCCCTTTTCTTTATGATGATTATTAAATACAAGTTGATGTCTCATCACTTGCCACTACTTATCTAACAAACAGTGAAAACTATTAAATACTACATGCATTTTATAAATCTTACGAAAAATCTTATCTGTTGCATTTTATGTAAGGAAATGAAAAAATTTCAGGTTTTCTAAGTACTGAAATATTTCTGATCATTTGACTACTACTTGATAATATTATAACTAAAGTAATTTCCTTTATTATTAGGAAATAATAACCTCTAATGATTGATAAATCATTGACAGTAGCAATACCATGTGATTTATCACAGGAATACCACCAATGGATCAGGATTCATTCGGATGAACAGCGATTTAGAATGATATCGGTTGAGATTGTAGTGCAAACAGTAGTTTAACTATAGATTTATATATTAGCCTTGGTGTAGAGGGTGAAGAAACACCTTATCTGGATCATACTACTTATGGTTGCTTATCTATCCACCACTAACAAGTATACTAATCGAATAACTGTTTAGATGTAGGATAATTACTTTCAAAGAAATGGAAACAAAATTATTTGTGTGAGTCAACCTTGAAAGTCAAACGAAACCAAGAAATGATAAATGATATGGGACAACATATATAAGCGAAGGATATAGTTTTCAGTTAAATCCTCATCAGGCTTTATAATGTTATATATATATATATATATATATATATATATATATATATATATATATATCGGTTCTCTTGAATTTGACGGTGGCGATTCACTTACAACACATCAACATCTCTCAGCTAACACAGGAAGATGATTTGCAAGGAACTTGGTATTCGAAAACAAGTAAAGCAATACAAATAAATTTAATGCTACTTCCATAACCAAGATACGAGAGATCACCTTCAAACCTATTAGCAAATTAGAGAACAAAATACAATAAAAACCAATCAGAAAGTATAGGTTGTGCCGGAATTCGAATTAGAAAACGAGGTGGGGTCATCATTTCTAAAAGAATTTCAGCCTTATTGTTTGAATTAGATTTTTGATGTGATCTCTTTAGTAATTTATCACACAAAATATAATTGTTTATAAACTTTATTGCTGATTTGACAAACAGAATAAGCAGTACTCTATTTCTTTGGTGATAGACTGTGTAAAAATTTGGTACAACGCACGTTTTTGCCTGATTATATGAACGACTTTTATAAACACATACCGTATCCTGTTATCATGAATTAGTTTTGAAAAAGAACTTAATTCATAACACTATTGGCTGCAGAATAGATTCATAATATTTAAAGAATAATCTTAACTATTCATTATATTTAATTTGATATTATTTTACAGGCATCTGAATTACTCGCAGCTCGGAGGCAAGTGATTGAATTGACAAGCCGATCAAAAGAAAGCTCAAATTCACTGAGTTTAGCACAAAGTGAATTAAATCGAGCTAATGAACAAGTAACGAGTTCAAATACATTGAATTTTCATAGGAAATTTATAAAATTTTTAAATTAACTAATTTATCTGTTCACTGTCGTTGTCATCTAACTCGAAATGGTAATTAAACAGACTTAAATGTATATTTCAATCCTTTACCTCGATGATAAGGGATTACAATCTCTATAAAAGTGAGATTTACACTTGAAGTATAAGTGAGTGACCATCTGGACTCAACAGCTTGATGGATAAAGTTTTGACATATACTCGGCCTGCAAATCAACAAGTAAATCTAGCTAACGAATTTCACACTTCAAGCTACTAAAAGTACGTTAAAATCAAGACGAACAGTTTATTTAACAGCTGTTTATATGTTGCTATACACTAGTAGCTCGCAATTCAATTTCGGTAGATTGTACTTCAAGGCTGAAACTGAATCTATTAATTTAGGTACTCACTACTTTTGGTTTACTATTAGACTATATAGCCGTGACATTAAGGTGTTATATTGATTTGATGTCAGAATTCAAGATCTGAGTTATTATCGTTACATTATATCATAAACTGATCAATGTTAGACCACTATTAGAAACCCCGTACCAGCATGGGACTCATCAGCACTGCGCATTCCCGACGTCCACATGCAGGAGTCAAGCCTGGTACCTTCAGCTTCGCGCGCGTACGAGAATTTATTCACGAAGCTTGTCATTAGAAAACAGTCACCCACCGAACACAATCGATGATAATCGCGCAATATCGTTAGTTAGACATTAACATAATGGGATGCCGGTTCAGTAGTCGAGAATGAAACAGCCATCCAGTGCTTCTTGGTTTCCAATGGTGGTCTAGCATTGATGAATTCATTATTTCAATGGAACTCAACAATTTTCACAACCGTGTACTGATTATTATCCTTTCACTGACGCTCTGCTTCAGAAATTGATCCACCATCAAAAGTAATCCGAAAGATTTCAATAAGTTTAAAGGTTGAGAAATAATATATATTTGAGACATAATATCTATTTCTTTAACAATTCTAATCTCAATTCATCTGTCAAAGTCTTTCACTAATTGGTTTTTTTATCCCTCACTTTTGTGACTTATGTCGGATAAAGATGATTTTGAATAATAAACTGAAATTATTTTTAAGAACTAGGTAGTTCGCGAATTATTCAGTCACTTTTATTTAACTATCTTCTTGTAATCACTTTGCACCTCAACCTTATGATACAGTACAACATTTATTAATGAACAGGAATAAGAATACAATGTTTGAAGGTCTTATCATATTTGACTCTTAACAAGGCAACTCAAAAAAAACGATAGGAGGTTACATCTTTTTATCTACTATAGAGGTGTAACACTCATACTTTTTTACTGTGGACATAAAGAACACTTCCTTGACCAACATAAATATAATTCGATCACTGAGTTTATTTCGTTCACCATACATCATAACCGTTACTGGAGCTGTAAAACTAATCTTTTGTAACATTAATTCAGTGGTTTTCGATCAAAAACCCTTTTGATCGTGTATAAAGTTATTCTTATTTTTGTTCCATTTAAGATGAAAACGTTTAAGATGAAAATCAACAATTATCATCTCTATTATGCAAGCATCGTTTCATAAATCATTTTGAAATATATATAACAAGACTGCTGACAACTTGACGATTTGTTTTCTCAAAATAATAAAGTTGATTCAGAAATTTTCTTTCAAATTGAAAGTTTTTCTTATGCATAGTTTGACATAAGACGTTTATCAGAATATAAAATAAGATTTTTAATTTATAAATTTTTAATTTCTGGAATACATAAAAAAGATATAACAATTCTTACTTTTAGTATTGTCATTTATGAAACAAATAACTAATCATCATCATTATCATTCTTTAAACTGAGATGGATTCACATGGTTATTTTACGGGAAAGATCGTTAAATTTCAGATAATTTTATTAACACTGACATTGTCTAACTGTTTGTTCTCTCGAACACCTCGACTTCATCTAGTTGTGGGTCGAGCAACTTGCGTTGTTTTGGATTCCCAGAAAAACAAATCTTATTATTGTGTATTTGGTTTGAAAGTTGATTACTAGACAGATAATTTCTATTTATGTGATATATATATATATATATATATATATATATATATACCTATAAGTGAAGTCATTTTAACACAATAAATATCTGTTAATACATTTTATTTAGATTGAAAGGCTTACTCGTGAACTACGTGAATCTGAGCAACGAAGAACTGATCAAGAAGCATTAGCTGCAAGTTTAGAACAAAGATATTTAATGGCTCAGCGTGAATTGAACTCAGCTCAAGATATGACTGATAAATTACGCGCTGAACTAGCTTTCAAATCAACACAATTCAAACAGGTAAGGATTCCAGTTATTTTTTCACCCATTGAAGTTCTTAAAAAGGCATTTATCTATTAAGGTTGTCTAATTTATTTACTAAATACTTCCTGTATAAAATAGAAGCTCAATCGATATATTACATGTAACACACAACATGGGAGTTTATTATGTAACAAATAAGTAAGAAAACACATGCAATTATGAATCACATCATCTGTGTTTTAATATGATTGAAATTTCTCAGAAAACTGATATCCTATTCAAATGACAGATGAACTGTAATGTCTTACAGTTGATTAATAATATTTGTACATAAACAAAGTATAAAACTAATAAATAAATCTATCACTTTTTTTTGAGTATCTGGAAAATTATCATCATAATTATATTTTATGTAAACGGATAGATTTTCAATAATATGATTGATTATCGAACGGCTTTAATAATTTTTCTGTTTTATCCAATCAAAATTTGCATAGATTATGGTAATTTGCCTGAACATTTTATGATATGCATAATGCTCTATAAAACAAAATTTAAGCGAATTGTTGAATTAATTTTATTTAACACAAAAATACAAATATCTTATTAAACCATACATGTCCAAACAAAAAATAAACATATATTCAAACAAATTGATTTTATTAAACAATTTTCTTACAGTTTTAGTAAATTAAATGATATTTGATTGAATGTTGCATAGTTAATAGGTTAAACAATTAGAAGTATTCTAGTTTTTTTACTTACTTACTTACTTAAGCCTGTTACCCCCAATGGAGCATAGGTCGACAACCAGTTTTCTCCAACCAACTCTATCCTGGGCCTCCCTTTCCAGTTCTGACCAATTTTCGTACATTCTTCTCATATCTGTCTACAATGCTCGGCGTAATGTATTCTTCATTGTTCTTTTCTTGTGGCCTTGAGGATTCCAAATGAGGACTTGTTTTGCGATGCATTTGGGTGCTTTCCGCAATGTGTGTCCTATCCACTTCCACCGCTTCTTCCTGATTTCCTCCTACACTGGAATCTGGTTTGTTCTCTCCCACATTACGTTGTTGCTGATGGTGTCTGGTCAACGGATCTGAAGTGTTTCGCGTAGACAACTGTTAATAAATACTTGTATCTTCTGGATGATGACTTTCGTGGTTCGCCAAGTTTCCGTTCCATATAATATAACTGTCTTGACGTGTGTGTATTGAAAATTATGACTTTGGTGTTGGTTGACAGTTGTTTCGAGTTCCAGATATTTTTCAATCGTAGAAATGCAGCCATTGCTTTGCCAATCCACGCCCTCACATCTGCATCGGATCCACCTTTCTCGTCGATGATGCTGCCCAGATATGTAAAGGTGTTAACGTCCTCCAAAGACTCTCCATCAGAGTGATTTGTTTGGCGCATGTTGTACTGTTGTGCTGTTGTGTATATCATATGCTATGCTGCTTTATAGAGCTGAAGGTTTGCTATGAGACCAAAGGTTTGCTCTGAACACTATGGATGGCTTGGAATTGCTTTGGCAAGTATTGCTAACACTCCATATACAAAAGTGGTTGTTTTGCAGTATTCTCTAGGGCCATTGTCACTGGGGCACTTTATTGCATATCACCGTTGCTAATAATAGTGAGTTTGACAGTCATGTAAGCTGGACTGGTCGAACTGACCTGTTCATACGGCGCATATTAATTGACGCGATCATGAATCGGAAATAATTACTATATATGTACTAGTGTATATAAATGGTGTGAATGGTCCACCAGGGTGTCAGATATCTGTGTGGCTGCATCACGGGATTGAGCCGAACTGTTCACGTTGAAATGATAACACCGAGGCAGCCTCCTTGGTTCCCCTGAAAACCAGTGTAAAATTACCCTCACCAACAGAGGGTTAATTTATTTAAGATAATAAGTGACTTATGTCTACCTATCAGTTCTGTTTGAACTGAGCTGAATATTGTTTTGATCATGCCTTTTTTTGGCCTTGACGGTTTTCTGAAGATAAACTTGTACACAATCAACAAGAAAATAGAGACATCAACTGTTAATAAGGGAACTTTCTTCCCATAGTCAGAAATGAAAGAATATATAGCTAGTGATGAAGTGAGAACCTTTAAATTTCGACAAAAGTTAACTAGCGAGAAAATACTGATTACAACACCCGAAGAATCTGTGTTCGATTTGGTATATGAGCTACTAAATGTTTATTATCGATGGACTCATAGTTAGGGTGAACCGTTATATCATAATTCATGAGTATCCTTTTCTGAAAACTAAAAATTAATTAGTTGTTTAAACCTGATTACATAATATTTGATTTGTTCACTCAAGGAATTACTGCGATTAGTTTTGTATTTTTCAATATTCAAAATAATACTATGTATATATATATATATATATTTTATTTTCTTTCAGAAAAAAGTTTTGATCAACACATATATATATGCTTGCTTTCTTTCTAATCATTGATAATACACTAAGTATGTTATAGTCATAAAATGAGAAAAACAATGTCAACATAATTTCCTTGTTTGTGACAATTCTATCGAAAACCGATCAATGCTCTAGTCAAAATCACACGCAGTATATATATATATATATATATATATATATATATATATATATATATGAGATGAACAATCAATGACGACTGATTAGACAATTGGATAAAAATAGAAATGTGCAAATTTTGTATTCGAATCAAATGGTTATGCATTTTAAGTGATTGGTTTTCAGTTCATCCATAACTTTTGTTCAGATGGATGATAGCTAAAATCAAAAATTAGAAATTAAAATAAAACATTTTAACCTAGAGTACTTATTAAGTCGCTTAAGCCAGTGTTGCATCTCGGATAACTAAGCGTGAACAATGAGTTGATGGATTAAATAGATATGGTCCAATGTTATTCATTTGCTCAAAAAATGTGACTCCTTTTATTTTCCTCCTAATTTACTGAAATAAATAGATCAGATGGTTGATAAATAGCTTAAGTATCATGAGAATGAATTTCAGTAAATTTTGATAAGTTCAATTATAAAGCACAATTCTCATTGTTTACCTATACATCGATCCATATTGTTCGACCATTCGTTTCTCTTATTACTGTGAACTAGAGTTATCAATCTGATTTGCATCAATTGATCTCAATTGTTTGGAACATTTTACAACAGTAAATAATTTCACTTCTTAAAAAGTATTGGTCATTTAACAAATCCACTGTTAGTCTTATTATTTCATTGATAATCTGGCGCATACTTTCAGCTGAGTAGTTTATTTCCATACCTTTTTTCTTAAAAAATAACACTCAATTTTTCTCAAAATAACTTGCATAAATGAATATATTTATTTCAGCGTCATGATAACAAGTGAATGACATAGAATTTTCTAAACTGGTGTAGTTGACTAGTCTACATTTTATTGTAGCAGTGCACTTTGTTCTTGTAGTTTACTTATTCGATAAAGTACAAAATCTGAATACATTGAACATATAAACTAAGTTTTGTCGTTACAGTTTTCTTCATTCAGTTAAGTAAATAATTTATTAGCTAACTAAGCACTTGAATGCTGTTTAACTTTGTCAACTAGTTGATCACAGTGAATTAACTATGTTATATTATGTATGATCCAAAAGTAAACATAACAAACGGAAATCTTCTTTGCATGACAATTCAGAAGATATTATTGACAAATGAATACTAAGTACAAGAAATTAGATTGAATGTTCGGGTTATAATAAAGTGAATATAATTGGTGATTACTACTGTTGAACTGTGAATATATGACTCTGTTTTGCCAAAGATACAATTTAGTCTATGCACATTTTAAACAGAATGTATTACCTAGTGGTAAACTCAAATAATAAATTACATAGTGGACTATCGAATCTTGACTTACACATCAAAAGATGTAATCTTAACAAACCTTCTACCTTGAAGATAGACATGTACAAATTAAGAATTTACTTCAGTCATTTTATGATTGATTGAGATTATTCTTTTTGAAATAAAGATACGCCTCAAAGTGTTTAAATGTTATTAAGTTTTGTGGGTAAACAGCCTTCATTTTTTAGACGTTCAGGCTTTTTTTTATCATCAGTGTTGTAGTTCCTTCATTTTTTTGGTATTTTTATTTACTGTATTATTATCATATTGGTGTGTGATTATGACAACTTTCAACTAGACTCTTTCGTTTAAGTAATATAAACCCATTTTTTTTTAATAATTGCATGTTGTAAGCAGCTGACGAGAATCAAGCAAAATAAAATGAATTGATGTTATTCTGCTCAAACGTTTAAACCTAATCATTCTCTTCAACATGATAGATTGGACTATATGTATTAAATTTTTTTTCTATTTTTGTTTAACACTGTTTTTTGGGTTCATTTAATGAAGTTACAAATAAATTATGAACTATAATATAATACAAGTTAGGTAATTCAAACTAAGAGCTTGTAAGTAATGAATAATCCGGAATTAAATTCTTTATTTCTATTGAATATTTTTCCAATTTAGCAAGAAGAAAAAGTTCGAACACTTCAAATTAAATTAGATACTGTAGAAGATGATCTGTTACAGAGTAGATCATTTTCAAATCGTTTCTTAAACTAAATCATTGAGAAGTAAATACATTCATGATGAAGTTGACATTGATGCTGAAGATGGTGATGATGATGGCGATGGCAATGATGATGATGATGATGATGATGAGGATGTTGTAGTTAGAATTGATGACAATGAAGAAAATGTTTGCTCTGATGAAAGTAATCCTGAATTATTGAATAAACAAACATCAGGAGAGGAAACAGAACAAGAGACTGATTCATTCACTACTAGTCAAGAGAATAAACATGTTCAAAAATTTAAATCTGTTAGATCTGGATTAAGAGGGAACTATTTTACTCGATATATCTCTCAACTAGAATGGAATTCCTATGAAGATCGTGTGAAAGAATTAGTAAATGAAATTGCAGAAGTTAGACAAGAATTGACACGTGCTAAAGAAAGAGAAATTATCAATGAAGAACATATAACTCGTTTATCAGGCACAGTAAGTCTATACTATTGATAAATAAAAATTCTTTTGTATTTTGATTCGATTATGTTAAGATGTATGAAAAAAATGTGTTTTTTAATCTTTTTTTTTTAACTTTTCAATAAATTTGACTTGATAAAATGTGTACTTCATTTTAAACTGAACATATGGGCAAGATAAACACATCTTAGGAGAAAGCCTTTAACTGAATATAGGTTTTTTTTTAGTAAATTACCTCACATGGATGAAAGCAATTTTCAATTTTTGGGAAAAACAGAATTCGCTGCTAGAAAATGAAATATCAATTGGATCGGGAGTTTCTTCATTCGTTTACAAAATCCACACAGAAAAAAATTCTCACTTCTTTCTTTTTTTTCAGATAAGCGCTGCTGTAGATATTTTCCGGTTACGTTTCTAACTAATTGTCTAATTCTATGATATGACAGTGTTCATGTCTGATATATATATATATATATATATGTTATAATGCTACGTAGCTATTTAAATCCTACCGACGTCTGCATTCAAATATTCCAATACGACCCAAATACTATTCCCAAATCTCCTATATATCAGAACGCAACACCGTTGGATGAAGTTGTTTAATGGGTCGCGTACAGAAGAGAGTTAGGCAGGAAGAAACGGAATCCAAAGCTTTACAGATACTGCGTATTTATACGTTTAGGTCGAATAGGAAAGAGCATCGAAGTCTCCGGCATTGACAGTTTACGACGACCAATAGGAAAGAACTTTCGAAATGACATCGACAGTCCGGATGACCAATCAGAGACAAGATTGAAGTATTTGACTTTGACAGTTAAAACGACCATATTTTCGACCAATAGGATTATACTTCCAAAAGTAGTACTCTTAGGATATTTGGTGAATATCCTAACAATATATATAATAAATATAATTATTTACATATATAATCGCTTTACATTGGTGTCTACAAACACTATTTTGTAGAATATAGAAATATGAATAAGAATTAGGGATTACTTAGTTTTTGATAAGATTTTTATTTAAAAATGTTTATAAAAAAATAATAAATTGAAATTATTCTCTCATTTATTATTATTTAAGGTTGATAAATTGTTACAAGAATCCAATGAACGTTTACAAAATCATTTACAAGAAAGAATGTCAGCTATAGAACAAAAACAAGATCTTACTAATCAAATTGAACAAACAAAACGAGCATTAGATACAGCTATAAAAGAACGTGAAGCAAATATAACCGAATCATTGTTATTAAGACAGAAATTGTCTGAATTAGCTGCAGCTTATCGTCATTCACAAGTTCAACTTGCAGCTGCACATACATCAACTACTGCAGTACAAGCTGCTATTATAGCATTAGCAAAAGCATCTGCTGAGAAAGTTAAATTGGAACAATGTTCACAACAGCACAATATAGTTGCCTCTATGCCTAATCCAGGTAAAATATTGTGTGCAGATGTATTGTCTAAACTGAGATCAATGGTGTGGTGTTGAGTTTACTTTAATTTGCTGCGTTAAATATTTTTTCTCTGGAAAGTGTTTCTTAACAATGCATTCACATCTGATGGGGTAAAATAATGATATCAACAATAATCAATCAGTCATTGTTAGACCAACATTAGAAACCTGGAAGCACTGAAGGACGGCCGTTTCTTCCTGGTATGGGACTTATCAACAGTGCACATCCACGACTCATACACCTCACAGGATTCGAAGCCCATGGACCTTCGAATCCTGTGAGGTGAATGAGTCGTGGATGTGCACTGCTTGATAAGTCCCATACCAGGAAGAAACGGCCGTCCTTCTGTGCTTCCAGGTTTCTAATGGTGGTCTAACAATGATTGATTGATGATTTCAAATGTATAAAAACACAAATCTCCAAAACTCTGCCCCAAGATATCAAGAATGTCAGTAAAAATAGGATATACTCAATCATAAAACAACCTATACATCATATCAGTTGATCAAAAACATTAGTCTACTATCTAACTGTTCGTAAATTGAAGTTCCTCAATATTTGAATTTTCACGAGAATTTTCAAGAAGATTACTGTAGTTTGCTTGTATTATGATTTGTTGAAATATTAAAATGTGATATTTACATTGACTGAAATAATTTCGATAACTAATGCATCATACGAGCTATTTTGTCACTTACCAGAACAAGTATATTTTGATCAGAACTTAACTGTTTGTTTTGAATGATACCCGGTTTTATTCAGCTTAACAGAAATTATTCAGACTGAACTACTGTTTAAAATTAGATTAGCTCGATACAGTTGGTTCTCCAATCTACGGAGAGAATCTTTCACATTACTTATGCTTGACTCATTTTCTGACAAATCATGTTTAATTTTCCACAAAATACTCGAACAAGCTGTAATTCAACTGTTAAAGATTGTGATGTTAATTATTTATACGACACAGATATAAAGCTCAACTGAACACCATTTCTATGATTATTGCTGAGAGTAAAGCACAATCAGTTTTTATATCAATAATAATGAAATAGTCTGTCATAGATTTTAATAATTATAATTGAATGATGATCTTAAATGGGAAGTCGGAAACCTAATTAACTTGAAACATTTATAGCTTTCTGTAAGAGTGCATTCCACATTATATTTAAATATAAACTTGTTTTTAGGTAACTTTGGGTAATCGTTTCTAAGAACATACGAGGAAACGAAGAAAGTACCCTATTATTGAAATAAAAATGTCATCATATGAAATATCGTTCTTCAAGAAACAAGGCCTGTAATCAAAGCCTTCTGAAATTCTAAGTTTCGTTAAGGAACATAGCTCTAAATTTCACACATTCTGTAGTTTTTTTTTTTGGTTATCACTGCATTAAACTGGCTCGTTATTTATTCAGAACAAATGGTAGTATTACTGATCAGGTCCTTGACTCATTAGCTCTTTGTGGGAAGTATGCTATGAATATCTGCATAAATTCTCTTATATTTTGTATACCAATCAGGTAGGCAACTGTTATTACTAAGGTATATGTTTTACAGAAATAGTTAAGGCCAGTGTACAATCAGCAAACTGCCTTGATGATTCGACTGGTAAGAATACGGAAACAGTGATGAATCGATTAACTGGGTTTAAAAATGAAATATATGTATTTCCATATAGATGAGAGTCATTCAATATATCAGTAATTAGTAGAAAAGTACTTAAAGCAAATAAATTTGTAGGCTGTAACATGCATCGAATCATACGTCATGTGCGTAAACATAACGAAATATACAAAGCACTAAGAATTAAGATAACACTTTCTATGTCTATCAGTCCAATGTATTGAATCGAATGCCTACTTAGTTTGAACATACAAGAACCTGTGTGTAGGTAGACAAAGCCACTGTTAGTCTCTATGACCTAGAGAAACGATAACAGTATGCGTATGGATTATGCACACAATTGGGTTTTACTCATGTTTTGAAAACTTTAAATAATTTTCTTTCAATAAATGAGGGTGAATTCACAAAGTTAGTTGATTTCAATAAATTTACTGATTCCTGATTGACCTGAGTACCAAGCTTCCAAATTCAAACTTCATTATTTGCCTTAATCTAATTTTATTTCTGTAAAATATAATTCGAACATCTTTTCTTTTTTTTTTTAAATTTTATTCTTAGCATGTCCTTCAAGTGTCATGGAACAATATGGAATGGATCAAAGTAATCCAATTGATTTAATTTCAAAATTGATCAATAATCCATGGATCTATTCACAAGCTAATAATAATTCAGTAGGTGTTTAGTTTTTCAAATTATTTGAATATGTACAAGTCAAACAGTGATATATATATATTATATATATATATATATATTCAAATTAAATGACGTAAATTGGAAAGAAACAAATTGCACTATCTGCAAGCATGTACAAGAAAATGATCGCATTGAAACTAATAATCTAACAAACAAGCAGTAACTAGCGGAGAAAAATGGGTGAGGTTGCGCGAAATCCCTAGAACGATCAGAGTTAGACATTAACATCGTTGATGACCGGCCCAGTGGTCTACTGGTTAGGCGTTCGCACACAATACCGAAGGTCCAGGATTCGAATCCTGCGAGGCGCAGGAGTCGTGGATGAGCACTGCTGATGGGTCACATACCAGGACGAAATGGCCTTCCAGTGCTTCCAGGTTACGAATGGTGGTCTAACAATGGCTGATTGATGATTTGAAATGTGTAAAAACACTAATCTCCATAACTCTAATTGAAAACAAAATTTTATCAGTGATGACGTGATAACACACTAAATTCAAATAACTTACATAATTGTTCAAAAAAATCGATCGTATACAGTTTTTAGGCTGGTGAGGTATAATCTATAATTTTTAGATTATACCTCACCAGCCTAAAAACTGTATACGATCGATTTTTTTGAACAATTATGTAAGTTATTTGAATTTAGTGTGTTATCACGTCATCACTGATAAAATTTTGTTTTCAATTAGAGTTATGGAGATTAGTGTTTTTACACATTTCAAATCATCAATCAGCCATTGTTAGACCACCATTCGTAACCTGGAAGCACTGGAAGGCCATTTCGTCCTGGTATGTGACCCATCAGCAGTGCGCATCCACGACTCCTGCGCCTCGCAGGATTCGAACCCAGGACCTACGGCAATGTGCGCGAACGCCTAACCATTAAACCACTGGGCCGGTTTCGAACTATGTTAATGTCTAACTCTGATTGATCTAGGGACTTTGCGCGACCTCACCCAATTTTCTTCGGTAGTTACTGCTTGTTTGTTAGATTATTAGTTTCAATGCGATCATTTTCTTTTACATGCTTGCAGATAGTGCAAATTTGTTCTTTCCAATTTACATCATTTAATTTGAATATATATATATATATATATCACTGTTTGACTTGTACATATTCAAATAATTTGAAATACTAAACACCTACTGAATTATTATTAGCTTGTGAATAGATCCATGGATTATTGATCAATTTTGAAATTAAATCAATTGGATTATTTTGATCCATTCCATATTGTTCCATGACACTTGAAGGACATGCTAAGAATAAAATTTAAAAAAAAAAAAGAAAGGATGTTCGAATTATATTTTACAGAAATAAAATTAGATCAAGGCCATTGAAAATCAAAATAATGAAGTTTGAATTTTGGAAGCTTGGTACTCAGGTCAATCAGGAATCAGTAAATTTATTGAAATCAACTAACTTTGTGAATTCACCCTCATTTATTGAAAGAAAATTATTTAAAGTTTTCAAAACATGAGTAAAACCCAATTGTGTGCATAATCCATACGCATACTGTTATCGTTTCTCTAGGTCATAGAGACTAACAGTGGCTTTGTCTACCTACACACAGGTTCTTGTATGTTCAAACTAAGTAGGCATTCGATTCAATACATTGGACCGATAGACATAGAAAGTGTTATCTTAATTCTTAGTGCTTTGTATATTTCGTTATGTTTACGCACATGACGTATGATTCGATGCATGTTACAGCCTACAAATTTATTTGCTTTAAGTACTTTTCTACTAATTACTGATATATTGAATGACTCTCATCTATATGGAAATAACATATTTTCATTTTTAAACCCAGTTAATCGATTCATCACTGTTTCCGTATTCTTACCAGTCGAATCATCAAGGCAGTTTGCTGATTGTACACTTGCCTTAACTATTTTCTGTAAAACATATACCTTAGTATAAACAGTTGCCTACCTGATTGGTATACAAAATATAAGAGAATTTATGCAGATATTCATAGCATACTTCCCACAAAGAGCTAATGAGTCAAGGACCTGATCAGTAATACTACCATTTGTTCTGAATAAATAACGAGCCAGTTTAATGCAGTGATAACCAAAAAAAAAACTACAGAATGTGTGAAATTAGAGCTATGTTCCTTAACGAAACTTAGAATTTCAGAAGGCTTTTGATTACAGGCCTTGTTTCTTGAAGAACGATATTTTCATATGATGACATTTTATTTCAATAATAGGGTACTTTCTTCGTTTCCTCGTATGTTCTTAGAAACGATTACCCAAAGTTACCTAAAAACAAGTTTATATTTAAATATAATGTGGAATGCACTCTTACAGAAAGCTATAAATGTTTCAAGTTAATTAGGTTTCCGACTTCCCATTTAAGATCATCATTCAATTATAATTATTAAAATCTATGACAGACTATTTCATTATTATTGATATAAAAACTGATTGTGCTTTACTCTCAGCAATAATCATAGAAATGGTGTTCAGTTGAGCTTTATATCTGTGTCGTATAAATAATTAACGTCACAATCTTTAACAGTTGAATTACAGCTTGTTAGAGTATTTTGTGGAAAATTAAACATGATTTGTCAGAAAATGAGTCAAGCATAAGTAATGTGAAAGATTCTCTCCGTAGATTGGAGAACCAACTGCATCGAGCTAATCTAATTTTAAACAGTAGTTCAGTCTGAATAATTTCTGTTAAGCTGAATAAAACCGTGTATCATTCAAAACAAACAGTTGAGTTCTGATCAAAATATACTTGTTCTGGTAGGTGACAAAATAGCTCGTATGATGCATTAGTTATCGAAATTATTTCAGTCAATGTAAATATCACATTTTAATATTTCAACAAATCATAATACAAGCAAACTACAGTAATCTTCTTGAAAATTCTCGTGAAAATTCAAATATTGAGGAACTTCAATTTACGAACAGTTAGATAGTAGACTAATGTTTTTGATCAACTGATATGATGTATAGGTTGTTTTATGATTGAGTATATCCTATTTTTTACTGACATTCTTGATATCTTGGGGCAGAGTTTTGGAGATTTGTGTTTTTATACATTTGAAATCATGAATCGATCAATGTTAGACCACACCATTAGAAACCTGGAAGCACAGAAGGACGGCCGTTTCCTCCTGATATGGGACTCATCCAGTGGCAGTGCTCATCCACGACTCCTGCACCTCACAGGATTCGAACCCAGGACCTTCGAATCCTGTGAGGTGTAGGAGTCGTGGATGTGCACTGCTGATGAGTCCCATACCAGGAAGAAACGGCCGTCCTTCTGTGCTTCCAGGTTTCTAATGGTGGTCTAACAATGATTGATTGATTATTCTTGATATCATTATTTTACCCTCACATCAGATGTGAATGCATTGTTAAGAAACACTTTCCAGAGAAAAAATATTTAACGCAGCAAATTAAAGTAAACTCAACACCACACCATTGATCTCAGTTTAGACAATACATCTGCACACAATATTTTACCTGGATTAGGCATAGAGGCAACTATATTGTGCTGTTGTGAACATTGTTCCAATTTAACTTTCTCAGCAGATGCTTTTGCTAATGCTATAATAGCAGCTTGTACTGCAGTAGTTGATGTATGTGCAGCTGCAAGTTGAACTTGTGAATGACGATAAGCTGCAGCTAATTCAGACAATTTCTGTCTTAATAACAATGATTCGGTTATATTTGCTTCACGTTCTTTTATAGCTGTATCTAATGCTCGTTTTGTTTGTTCAATTTGATTAGTAAGATCTTGTTTTTGTTCTATAGCTGACATTCTTTCTTGTAAATGATTTTGTAAACGTTCATTGGATTCTTGTAACAATTTATCAACCTTAAATAATAATAAATGAGAGAATAATTTCAATTTATTATTTTTTTATAAACATTTTTAAATAAAAATCTTATCAAAAACGAAGTAATCCCTAATTTTTATTCATATTTCTATATTCTACAAAATAGTGTTTGTAGACACCAATGTAAAGCGATTATATATGTAAATAATTATATTTATTATATATATTGTTAGGATATTCACCAAATATCCTAAGAGTACTACTTTTGGAAGTATAATCCTATTGGTCGAAAATATGGTCGTTTTAACTGTCAAAGTCAAATACTTCAATCTTGTCTCTGATTGGTCATCCGGACTGTCGATGTCATTTCGAAAGTTCTTTCCTATTGGTCGTCGTAAACTGTCAATGCCGGAGACTTCGATGCTCTTTCCTATTCGACCTAAACGTATAAATACGCAGTATCTGTAAAGCTTTGGATTCCGTTTCTTCCTGCCTAACTCTCTTCTGTACGCGACCCATTAAACAACTTCATCCAACGGTGTTGCGTTCTGATATATAGGAGATTTGGGAATAGTATTTGGGTCGTATTGGAATATTTGAATGCAGACGTCGGTAGGATTTAAATAGCTACGTAGCATTATAACATATATATATATATATATATATATCAGACATGAACACTGTCATATCATAGAATTAGACAATTAGTTAGAAACGTAACCGGAAAATATCTACAGCAGCGCTTATCTGAAAAAAAAGAAAGAAGTGAGAATTTTTTTCTGTGTGGATTTTGTAAACGAATGAAGAAACTCCCGATCCAATTGATATTTCATTTTCTAGCAGCGAATTCTGTTTTTTCCCAAAAATTGAAAATTGCTTTCATCCATGTGAGGTAATTTACTAAAAAAAAACCTATATTCAGTTAAAGGCTTTCTCCTAAGATGTGTTTATCTTGCCCATATGTTCAGTTTAAAATGAAGTACACATTTTATCAAGTCAAATTTATTGAAAAGTTAAAAAAAAAAGATTAAAAAACACATTTTTTTCATACATCTTAACATAATCGAATCAAAATACAAAAGAATTTTTATTTATCAATAGTATAGACTTACTGTGCCTGATAAACGAGTTATATGTTCTTCATTGATAATTTCTCTTTCTTTAGCACGTGTCAATTCTTGTCTAACTTCTGCAATTTCATTTACTAATTCTTTCACACGATCTTCATAGGAATTCCATTCTAGTTGAGAGATATATCGAGTAAAATAGTTCCCTCTTAATCCAGATCTAACAGATTTAAATTTTTGAACATGTTTATTCTCTTGACTAGTAGTGAATGAATCAGTCTCTTGTTCTGTTTCCTCTCCTGATGTTTGTTTATTCAATAATTCAGGATTACTTTCATCAGAGCAAACATTTTCTTCATTGTCATCAATTCTAACTACAACATCCTCACCATCATCATCATCATCATTGCCATCGCCATCATCATCACCATCTTCAGCATCAATGTCAACTTCATCATGAATGTATTTACTTCTCAATGATTTAGTTAAGAAACGATTTGAAAATGATCTACTCTGTAACAGATCATCTTCTACAGTATCTAATTTAATTTGAAGTGTTCGAACTTTTTCTTCTTGCTAAATTGGAAAAATATTCAATAGAAATAAAGAATTTAATTCCGGATTATTCATTACTTACAAGCTCTTAGTTTGAATTACCTAACTTGTATTATATTATAGTTCATAATTTATTTGTAACTTCATTAAATGAACCCAAAAAACAGTGTTAAACAAAAATAGAAAAAAATTTAATACATATAGTCCAATCTATCATGTTGAAGAGAATGATTAGGTTTAAACGTTTGAGCAGAATAACATCAATTCATTTTATTTTGCTTGATTCTCGTCAGCTGCTTACAACATGCAATTATTAAAAAAAAATGGGTTTATATTACTTAAACGAAAGAGTCTAGTTGAAAGTTGTCATAATCACACACCAATATGATAATAATACAGTAAATAAAAATACCAAAAAATGAAGGAACATTCTACAACACTGATGATAAAAAAAAGCCTGAACGTCTAAAAAATGAAGGCTGTTTACCCACAAAACTTAATAACATTTAAACACTTTGAGGCGTATCTTTATTTCAAAAAGAATAATCTCAATCAATCATAAAATGACTGAAGTAAATTCTTAATTTGTACATGTCTATCTTCAAGGTAGAAGGTTTGTTAAGATTACATCTTTTGATGTGTAAGTCAAGATTCGATAGTCACTATGTAATTTATTATTTGAGTTTACCACTAGGTAATACATTCTGTTTAAATGTGCATAGACTAAATTGTATCTTTGGCAAAACAGAGTCATATATTCACAGTTCAACAGTAGTAATCACCAATTATATTCACTTTATTATAACCCGAACATTCAATCTAATTTCTTGTACTTAGTATTCATTTGTCAATAATATCTTCTGAATTGTCATGCAAAGAAGATTTCCGTTTGTTATGTTTACTTTTGGATCATACATAATATAACATAGAATTAATTCACTGTGATCAAGTAGTTGACAAAGTTAAACAGCATTCAAGTGCTTAGTTAGCTAATAAATTATTTACTTAACTGAATGAAGAAAACTGTAACGACAAAACTTAGTTTATATGTTCAATGTATTCAGATTTTGTACTTTATCGAATAAGTAAACTACAAGAACAAAGTGCACTGCTACAATAAAATGTAGACTAGTCAACTACACCAGTTTAGAAAATTCTATGTCATTCACTTGTTATCATGACGCTGAAATAAATATATTCATTTATGCAAGTTATTTTGAGAAAAATTGAGTGTTATTTTTTAAGAAAAAAGGTATGGAAATAAACTACTCAGCTGAAAGTATGCGCCAGATTATCAATGAAATAATAAGACTAACAGTGGATTTGTTAAATGACCAATACTTTTTAAGAAGTGAAATTATTTACTGTTGTAAAATGTTCCAAACAATTGAGATCAATTGATGCAAATCAGATTGATAACTCTAGTTCACAGTAATAAGAGAAACGAATGGTCGAACAATATGGATCGATGTATAGGTAAACAATGAGAATTGTGCTTTATAATTGAACTTATCAAAATTTACTGAAATTCATTCTCATGATACTTAAGCTATTTATCAACCATCTGATCTATTTATTTCAGTAAATTAGGAGGAAAATAAAAGGAGTCACATTTTTTGAGCAAATGAATAACATTGGACCATATCTATTTAATCCATCAACTCATTGTTCACGCTTAGTTATCCGAGATGCAACACTGGCTTAAGCGACTTAATAAGTACTCTAGGTTAAAATGTTTTATTTTAATTTCTAATTTTTGATTTTAGCTATCATCCATCTGAACAAAAGTTATGGATGAACTGAAAACCAATCACTTAAAATGCATAACCATTTGATTCGAATACAAAATTTGCACATTATCAGTCGTCATTGATTGTTCATCTCATATATATATATATATATATATATATATATATATATATATATATATATATATATATATATATATATATACTGCGTGTGATTTTGACTAGAGCATTGATCGGTTTTCGATAGAATTGTCACAAACAAGGAAATTATGTTGACATTGTTTTTCTCATTTTATGACTATAACATACTTAGTGTATTATCAATGATTAGAAAGAAAGCAAGCATATATATATGTGTTGATCAAAACTTTTTTCTGAAAGAAAATAAAATATATATATATATATATACATAGTATTATTTTGAATATTGAAAAATACAAAACTAATCGCAGTAATTCCTTGAGTGAACAAATCAAATATTATGTAATCAGGTTTAAACAACTAATTAATTTTTAGTTTTCAGAAAAGGATACTCATGAATTATGATATAACGGTTCACCCTAACTATGAGTCCATCGATAATAAACATTTAGTAGCTCATATACCAAATCGAACACAGATTCTTCGGGTGTTGTAATCAGTATTTTCTCGCTAGTTAACTTTTGTCGAAATTTAAAGGTTCTCACTTCATCACTAGCTATATATTCTTTCATTTCTGACTTTGGGAAGAAAGTTCCCTTATTAACAGTTGATGTCTCTATTTTCTTGTTGATTGTGTACAAGTTTATCTTCAGAAAACCGTCAAGGCCAAAAAAAGGCATGATCAAAACAATATTCAGCTCAGTTCAAACAGAACTGATAGGTAGACATAAGTCACTTATTATCTTAAATAAATTAACCCTCTGTTGGTGAGGGTAATTTTACACTGGTTTTCAGGGGAACCAAGGAGGCTGCCTCGGTGTTATCATTTCAACGTGAACAGTTCGGCTCAATCCCGTGATGCAGCCACACAGATATCTGACACCCTGGTGGACCATTCACACCATTTATATACACTAGTACATATATAGTAATTATTTCCGATTCATGATCGCGTCAATTAATATGCGCCGTATGAACAGGTCAGTTCGACCAGTCCAGCTTACATGACTGTCAAACTCACTATTATTAGCAACGGTGATATGCAATAAAGTGCCCCAGTGACAATGGCCCTAGAGAATACTGCAAAACAACCACTTTTGTATATGGAGTGTTAGCAATACTTGCCAAAGCAATTCCAAGCCATCCATAGTGTTCAGAGCAAACCTTTGGTCTCATAGCAAACCTTCAGCTCTATAAAGCAGCATAGCATATGATATACACAACAGCACAACAGTACAACATGCGCCAAACAAATCACTCTGATGGAGAGTCTTTGGAGGACGTTAACACCTTTACATATCTGGGCAGCATCATCGACGAGAAAGGTGGATCCGATGCAGATGTGAGGGCGTGGATTGGCAAAGCAATGGCTGCATTTCTACAGTTGAAAAATATCTGGAACTCCAAACAACTTTCAACCAAAACCAAAATCAGGATTTTCAATACAAATGTCAAGACCGTTCTACTATATGGAGCGGAAACTTGGAGAACTACTAAAGTCATCATCCAGAAGATACAAGTATTTATTAACAGTTGTCTTCGCGAAACACTTCAGATCCGTTGACCAGACACCATCAGCAACAACGTAATGTGGGAGAGAACAAACCAGATTCCAGTGTAGGAGGAAATCAGGAAGAAGCGGTGGAAGTGGATAGGACACACATTGCGGAAAGCACCCAAATGCATCGCAAAACAAGTCCTCATTTGGAATCCTCAAGGCCACAAGAAAAGAACAATGAAGAATACATTACGCCGAGCATTGTAGACAGATATGAGAAGAATGTACGAAAATTGGTCAGAACTGGAAAGGGAGGCCCAGGATAGAGTTGGTTGGAGAAAACTGGTTGTCGACCTATGCTCCATTGGGGGTAACAGGCTTAAGTAAGTAAGTAAGTAAAAAAACTAGAATACTTCTAATTGTTTAACCTATTAACTATGCAACATTCAATCAAATATCATTTAATTTACTAAAACTGTAAGAAAATTGTTTAATAAAATCAATTTGTTTGAATATATGTTTATTTTTTGTTTGGACATGTATGGTTTAATAAGATATTTGTATTTTTGTGTTAAATAAAATTAATTCAACAATTCGCTTAAATTTTGTTTTATAGAGCATTATGCATATCATAAAATGTTCAGGCAAATTACCATAATCTATGCAAATTTTGATTGGATAAAACAGAAAAATTATTAAAGCCGTTCGATAATCAATCATATTATTGAAAATCTATCCGTTTACATAAAATATAATTATGATGATAATTTTCCAGATACTCAAAAAAAAAGTGATAGATTTATTTATTAGTTTTATACTTTGTTTATGTACAAATATTATTAATCAACTGTAAGACATTACAGTTTCATCTGTCATTTGAATAGGATATCAGTTTTCTGAGAAATTTCAATCATATTAAAACACAGATGATGTGATTCATAATTGCATGTGTTTTCTTACTTATTTGTTACATAATAAACTCCCATGTTGTGTGTTACATGTAATATATCGATTGAGCTTCTATTTTATACAGGAAGTATTTAGTAAATAAATTAGACAACCTTAATAGATAAATGCCTTTTTAAGAACTTCAATGGGTGAAAAAATAACTGGAATCCTTACCTGTTTGAATTGTGTTGATTTGAAAGCTAGTTCAGCGCGTAATTTATCAGTCATATCTTGAGCTGAGTTCAATTCACGCTGAGCCATTAAATATCTTTGTTCTAAACTTGCAGCTAATGCTTCTTGATCAGTTCTTCGTTGCTCAGATTCACGTAGTTCACGAGTAAGCCTTTCAATCTAAATAAAATGTATTAACAGATATTTATTGTGTTAAAATGACTTCACTTATAGGTATATATATATATATATATATATATATATATCACATAATAGAAATTATCTGTCTAGTAATCAACTTTCAAACCAAATACACAATAATAAGATTTGTTTTTCTGGGAATCCAAAACAACGCAAGTTGCTCGACCCACAACTAGATGAAGTCGAGGTGTTCGAGAGAACAAACAGTTAGACAATGTCAGTGTTAATAAAATTATCTGAAATTTAACGATCTTTCCCGTAAAATAACCATGTGAATCCATCTCAGTTTAAAGAATGATAATGATGATGATTAGTTATTTGTTTCATAAATGACAATACTAAAAGTAAGAATTGTTATATCTTTTTATGTATTCCAGAAATTAAAAATTTATAAATTAAAAATCTTATTTTATATTCTGATAAACGTCTTATGTCAAACTATGCATAAGAAAAACTTTCAATTTGAAAGAAAATTTCTGAATCAACTTTATTATTTTGAGAAAATAAATCGTCAAGTTGTCAGCAGTCTTGTTATATATATTTCAAAATGATTTATGAAACGATGCTTGCATAATAGAGATGATAATTGTTGATTTTCATCTTAAACGTTTTCATCTTAAATGGAACAAAAATAAGAATAACTTTATACACGATCAAAAGGGTTTTTGATCGAAAACCACTGAATTAATGTTACAAAAGATTAGTTTTACAGCTCCAGTAACGGTTATGATGTATGGTGAACGAAATAAACTCAGTGATCGAATTATATTTATGTTGGTCAAGGAAGTGTTCTTTATGTCCACAGTAAAAAAGTATGAGTGTTACACCTCTATAGTAGATAAAAAGATGTAACCTCCTATCGTTTTTTTTGAGTTGCCTTGTTAAGAGTCAAATATGATAAGACCTTCAAACATTGTATTCTTATTCCTGTTCATTAATAAATGTTGTACTGTATCATAAGGTTGAGGTGCAAAGTGATTACAAGAAGATAGTTAAATAAAAGTGACTGAATAATTCGCGAACTACCTAGTTCTTAAAAATAATTTCAGTTTATTATTCAAAATCATCTTTATCCGACATAAGTCACAAAAGTGAGGGATAAAAAAAACCAATTAGTGAAAGACTTTGACAGATGAATTGAGATTAGAATTGTTAAAGAAATAGATATTATGTCTCAAATATATATTATTTCTCAACCTTTAAACTTATTGAAATCTTTCGGATTACTTTTGATGGTGGATCAATTTCTGAAGCAGAGCGTCAGTGAAAGGATAATAATCAGTACACGGTTGTGAAAATTGTTGAGTTCCATTGAAATAATGAATTCATCAATGCTAGACCACCATTGGAAACCAAGAAGCACTGGATGGCTGTTTCATTCTCGACTACTGAACCGGCATCCCATTATGTTAATGTCTAACTAACGATATTGCGCGATTATCATCGATTGTGTTCGGTGGGTGACTGTTTTCTAATGACAAGCTTCGTGAATAAATTCTCGTACGCGCGCGAAGCTGAAGGTACCAGGCTTGACTCCTGCATGTGGACGTCGGGAATGCGCAGTGCTGATGAGTCCCATGCTGGTACGGGGTTTCTAATAGTGGTCTAACATTGATCAGTTTATGATATAATGTAACGATAATAACTCAGATCTTGAATTCTGACATCAAATCAATATAACACCTTAATGTCACGGCTATATAGTCTAATAGTAAACCAAAAGTAGTGAGTACCTAAATTAATAGATTCAGTTTCAGCCTTGAAGTACAATCTACCGAAATTGAATTGCGAGCTACTAGTGTATAGCAACATATAAACAGCTGTTAAATAAACTGTTCGTCTTGATTTTAACGTACTTTTAGTAGCTTGAAGTGTGAAATTCGTTAGCTAGATTTACTTGTTGATTTGCAGGCCGAGTATATGTCAAAACTTTATCCATCAAGCTGTTGAGTCCAGATGGTCACTCACTTATACTTCAAGTGTAAATCTCACTTTTATAGAGATTGTAATCCCTTATCATCGAGGTAAAGGATTGAAATATACATTTAAGTCTGTTTAATTACCATTTCGAGTTAGATGACAACGACAGTGAACAGATAAATTAGTTAATTTAAAAATTTTATAAATTTCCTATGAAAATTCAATGTATTTGAACTCGTTACTTGTTCATTAGCTCGATTTAATTCACTTTGTGCTAAACTCAGTGAATTTGAGCTTTCTTTTGATCGGCTTGTCAATTCAATCACTTGCCTCCGAGCTGCGAGTAATTCAGATGCCTGTAAAATAATATCAAATTAAATATAATGAATAGTTAAGATTATTCTTTAAATATTATGAATCTATTCTGCAGCCAATAGTGTTATGAATTAAGTTCTTTTTCAAAACTAATTCATGATAACAGGATACGGTATGTGTTTATAAAAGTCGTTCATATAATCAGGCAAAAACGTGCGTTGTACCAAATTTTTACACAGTCTATCACCAAAGAAATAGAGTACTGCTTATTCTGTTTGTCAAATCAGCAATAAAGTTTATAAACAATTATATTTTGTGTGATAAATTACTAAAGAGATCACATCAAAAATCTAATTCAAACAATAAGGCTGAAATTCTTTTAGAAATGATGACCCCACCTCGTTTTCTAATTCGAATTCCGGCACAACCTATACTTTCTGATTGGTTTTTATTGTATTTTTGTTCTCTAATTTGCTAATAGGTTTGAAGGTGATCTCTCGTATCTTGGTTATGGAAGTAGCATTAAATTTATTTGTATTGCTTTACTTGTTTTCGAATACCAAGTTCCTTGCAAATCATCTTCCTGTGTTAGCTGAGAGATGTTGATGTGTTGTAAGTGAATCGCCACCGTCAAATTCAAGAGAACCGATATATATATATATATATATATATATATATATATATATATATATATATAACATTATAAAGCCTGATGAGGATTTAACTGAAAACTATATCCTTCGCTTATATATGTTGTCCCATATCATTTATCATTTCTTGGTTTCGTTTGACTTTCAAGGTTGACTCACACAAATAATTTTGTTTCCATTTCTTTGAAAGTAATTATCCTACATCTAAACAGTTATTCGATTAGTATACTTGTTAGTGGTGGATAGATAAGCAACCATAAGTAGTATGATCCAGATAAGGTGTTTCTTCACCCTCTACACCAAGGCTAATATATAAATCTATAGTTAAACTACTGTTTGCACTACAATCTCAACCGATATCATTCTAAATCGCTGTTCATCCGAATGAATCCTGATCCATTGGTGGTATTCCTGTGATAAATCACATGGTATTGCTACTGTCAATGATTTATCAATCATTAGAGGTTATTATTTCCTAATAATAAAGGAAATTACTTTAGTTATAATATTATCAAGTAGTAGTCAAATGATCAGAAATATTTCAGTACTTAGAAAACCTGAAATTTTTTCATTTCCTTACATAAAATGCAACAGATAAGATTTTTCGTAAGATTTATAAAATGCATGTAGTATTTAATAGTTTTCACTGTTTGTTAGATAAGTAGTGGCAAGTGATGAGACATCAACTTGTATTTAATAATCATCATAAAGAAAAGGGAACTATTATAAACATAGTAACAATCGAATAGTTATATGTTTTGATTAATTCCACTGTAAAAATCATTTATACTCAAATTTCCAATGTAAACTTACACGTTGGTCAAGATTCTGTTGAAGTTCTTTAATTCTGTTTGCTGCTTCAATAGCAACTGCTGATGCTGATTCGTAGACCAGATTTGATAAAGGAATATTCGAGACTGGTGGCGATGATAATAATTCCGAATTTTTACTTATTCCGACTGATCCTTGTGATAATGGAGTAGTTTCTAATTAGAAAATTAAATGTAGTGATTATATTTTAGCGAGTATGAAACAACAATTTTTAATATATTACTAAAAGCTGAAAATGAGGAAAGTTAGGATGTTAAAGTACGGCAAAGTGCTCGTAGTTAGACAATCATTGGAAAACAGCAAGCATAGAACAGCTATTTCGTTCTAGTTATGAAGCAACTCATCGGGAATCGAACTCAGGGCCAATAATTTCTTGACATTTAAATCACTGATCTGGCATCCCTCTGGCCCATAGGATTGAATTTAGACACATTATGAAAATCCAACAATCTCCATAAATCTGTGTAATGACAGTAACTAACTGTTGGATTAGATCATTACTTACTATTGATTAGCCTATATTTAATTGAGCATTAAATTTTCGATTATGTAATCGGTTATTTCCCGTATATTGATGATTACATCAAACAAAAAAAATACTGATTTCACTTTTGTAAATTTGAACTATTGACCTCATAATTTTTATCCATAGATTATAAACATTTAATGTCAGATAATTTTCAAAAAAAAAACTAAATATCCAATTTATTGTTTATGTTTATTCAACTGCAATTATTTTGTTTTTTTAGTTGAATAACATTTGTTACAATGAAAAGCTTGTTTAAAGGAGAGATGAATTTCACCCAGTGCAAATCGATAAGCTATGTTTTGGTAAATGGTAAATGTGAATAACTACTACTGTGAAGAGGTTGATGAACAGTTAAAATTTATACTCCTCTCTATAGAATGCTCATTATAGAAAATAAGCTTTTGTTTTACTTATTTATCTGATTAACAAAATAAATAATTTGTAAACAAGTTATCATTGTTTCCACACTTTTGTGCTTGGACAACTTCACACTGTAGACTAAAACTATTTGATTGTATTTTGGATAAAAAGGTTGTTTTTAGTGGTTTTTTTATTTGCCTCATTTAAAATACCTTTATGAAAATCTGGTTTCTCAACTATCTTATAGTTGTTACATAACATCATCATTATATATTACTCATAGCTGTAATCTCATATTATCTATCAATAGCATATGATTAAAGTCTTTGTCATGTTCATTTACAACTTATGTCGTACAATTTTTATCCAATAATCTATGCAGATTGTAGCATTCAAAAAAAAACCGCATCATGATAACACAGTCGCATTCTTTGTATTTTATAAATACGAATTAAATCAACCCTTGAATTATTAGTATACTGCGTGTTTGTTTTGTTGGCTGAATCAGTTAATGAAACCGCTACTCATTTAGGTTACATCTAGGATACCTGATAGAATAGAGAAAAGTTACGAAGAAAACAGTATCAATCAAAAAAATAAAATATTTCTTTTCACTTTATTCAAGTTTACCTTCAATAGAGAATTTTTGAACTTGATCAGAATTATTCATTACATCTGTATTATTATTCTTAATGAAATCATAGTCAACTTGTGTTTGACTAGATATCATTGTTTGATTTACATTATTATTATTATTAGACATATTTACAGTAGAATTCTTGTTTATTGTTGAACGTTTTAATTCAAATAATTCATTCTCTAAATCAATCACTTTATTTTGTGATACTCTTAAACGATTATGAACTTTTTCATCTAAAACTTTATGATGTTCAAATAAAGATTTCAATGCTTTTAAAACTTCTGCTTCTGAACCTAATCCTGCTAATGAAGGACTTGTTGATGCTGGAGTTGTTGTATTCATGGCATAATTCGATGAAGAATTTAAAGTATCCATTTCAGAGCATACGGTTTCATTATCTGTGCCAATTGGAATCAATGAATTTGTACTACTGCTACTACTCATTGTTGTTAATGTATGTCGTTTGACCACGGTCATTCTAAGTGATCTTTCATGACGAGCTACTAAATTTTCTAAATGTTCCAAAAGGATCTACAATTACAAAAAAGAATTGAAAGTAAGAAAATGCATTAACAATAAATAAGTATACTAGTGATTATTAGATTATTTCGAAATAAATAAATTCCTTGAGAATACATTCAATTATTCAGGTAAGAATAAATGTGTGCCACAACCTTAAACACACGACAGATGAAGTAAGGTCGATAATCTAAGTGTATTTATTATTTTATACAACTTCAAAAATATTCACTTCAAAACTAATTCTGAAAACTTAGCTAGTCGAATTCACCTGTTACAATTGTTTTATTTAGAATGGATTAAGTATATATTCACGATATCATATTCAACAGGCATTTAGTAAACTATGTTATTAACAATTAACCTATTTTATGATTAATAATTATTATTATATTGCAAATTTACAATCTCACAATGTTATCCATGAGTTTGGGTAGTTTGAGCTTGACACAAGTATCAATAATCTCAAAAAATAATGGCAGCTCAAACTTACAAATCAACCGAAGTTGAAAATAAATACTATCAGTTATCTAAATGTTAAGTATTCACTGTTAGCCGTGAAGGCTGTCTGTTCAAAGTCTGGCGGTTTACAACTGCACTGCTTTTGAACGACATAGTTTTGCTTATTCGTTGAGTATTTTTGATGTCTTTAATGTATTCCATCGTTCCTTCTTTACATCCAAAAACAAAACGTGAGCAGTTTCTTATTAGTATTTTTACTGTAAAAGTGAATGAAAGATTACAGCGGTTTCAGGAGTTAAAGTTATAATTTTGGGTTTGAAAGCATCTACCAAACATTGTGTATCGATCAGATGCAAGGAAATTCAGCTGATGAATGCAGTAACCACTTGGGGTTTATATAGTCCGAAAAACTTACTATGAGTTGTACTACTACGGACAACGAAGTAAACTTTTAGGCAGGATGGATTTCAATCCCTTCTGAAATGAAATCATTACTTTTTGTCAGACTCTGTATTCACAATTTTAAGCATAACAGGAATAATATGAAAAATATTTTTTGAGTTTTTGAATGTCTGCATACTTGTAATCCACTTTATAGTATGTATTAAACACAAAGTAAAATTATAACTAATAATAATTTACGTTATTTGATTTACTAGTGAAATACTGAATATGAAGAGTTGCGAAGGGAGCTTACCGTTTCAAGAAAAAGAGGAAATAAGTCGGCAAATCAATAGCCTATAATATATCTATCCGAATAATATAAACTTGAATTTCTTTGTCAATCAAGATATGAAACTATTAAAAAACGAGTAATGATTTAAATAAAATACATAAAAGTAAGACAATTTATTTTTTATTTTAAAAATCACACAAGTTTTGGTTTGTTAGTGAGATTAAAGTTTTTATTGCATTTTACTTACGACTAGATTTTACTAAAGACATGAATTATCTACTTGACTCAATTTTTAGAATGTAACAGAATTACAAATCACGATATGCTTCTATGATGATAGTATTAAATTGTTCAGCAATAAATATTCTATCTCAAGATTAAGCCTGAGATAATCTTTTTCTTCACAATCTATGCCAAGATGGAATAATGAATAAACTGGAATTCAATGAAAATAACTAATTTTTCGATATCTTCGAATTATTTCATGATTATTTTAATTGGGTAATGTAATGTTTACTCATTTTGTTTGCTAACAAAATCGATCAGTGAGTTTCCTATGTGTAGTGTCTCCAGTAATATTTATTGACAAGAATACTTACTATATATATATATATATATATATATATATATATATATATATTATAGTCTTTATTTTTACTAGCAACATATTATTCCCTAGATTCTTTGTTGATTTAATTGTAGATAATTAGTTGAATACAATTATACACAAATCGAGCTTCAATAACTTTATAAATTCAATAATATATACATTTATACAAATATGCATATTTTTAAAATCTGTATTGTCTGTGGAAAGTTTAAAATGTAGAATAATTTATTTTAATTATTAGATTTTTATAGCTATATACGGTTGTTCATTAGTGAATTAGCTTTATGAAGTCAAACAAAAAATGCAACATGTTGTACTTTTATAGGCTGATTAATGTTTTAAATCATAATACCTATGAATTATTGAGTATTTTCATTGACTCAACATAATGTGTGTATAATTCGGATTTTTTTTTTAAAACAATTGGTCCCGTTTGATAAATTTTGATAGAACAGTGAGAAGGCGTAATTGATCTGAAAAATGTTATGATGTATTTGCGCTATACATTTCGAACAATCTGGTCACACATATTTACTTGTCAAGGCATTTTATATAAAGATTAATAAAAGGTCAATTAAATAAAAGTTCAATTAGACATAAGGTGACAATTGTAAATAAAGGAGAGAGAAAATTAACGTAATATGAAAAGAATAAGAAAGGTTAGGAAAATCTTTAATAAGCCTAGGGTAATGTAAAAAAAATCTACTGAGTTTACGTGAATCAAACATTATTTGTATTATTATTTCAACACAATGAATATACCATAGTTATATTGAAAACTGAGATACAGAGTGTTGAAGCATGGTATTTAAAGTATTGTAACATCATTCAGTAATAATGAGACACTGAACTCTTCAAATCGTTATTTTATGGACAAACAAATGCGAACATTTAAAATTTGCAACATTTTTACAGACATCCTTAAACACTTTACCGTTGAATGTTGATTTTTCCATTAATCAAGTTAACATTTAATTAAGGCATTCAATATCAAATGTTCAATAGGTTTTGAATATTTCTTATAACTGTATACAATTCATAGACAACATATTATCCAGTATAGATATTCAGTTTACAGATTATTTATTACGCAAAGTGAGTTAATCAACGCGTTCATTTATCTACCAATGTATGTTATATAATGAAATTTGTATAATTTATAAAATAAATCCTAATATTAAGTTTAGGATATGTAGCAAAATAAAACGTTGTTTATGAAGAGCACAATACATAGTTGAATTTCAAAATACTTAATGTACATAGTCAATATAAATGCTTGGGTAATAATCATTGATTCACATTAGTTTTAATCGATTCTCATCTATAATATAGTGTTATCTTCATTATAAATATACTCCCATGTTTTAAAAAATGTATTTGTTACTTTGAATAATTTACCCACAATAAATTGTTCGATGAATAAGAATTGTCCTCAACTTCCAATCAGAGCATAGTCAGCAAAATCATTAAAATTTTTTTCATCGATAAAAAACTGAATAGAATTTATATTTAATCAGTCAATCACAGCAACGTAGAACGTAAGTACATCAGTTAAAATTGCCATACCACATTAGCACAGAGATGCAATTGTCAATTCAAATCCCATGGTAATAGAGGTCGTAAAAGCATTATTAGCAGTAATCGGAGAGATTAGAGTTCGACGATAGTATTCAAGAAGTAGAATTTAGTGAAATAAACTTAAAAGGAAAAGATAAGGATGATGAGGAATTCAGAGGGTTAGGGTTTCAAAGAACATAAAAAATGGATGCACCTGCGCCATTGCAAACGGTTTTGAGCCATGTCGTTCAAGGTCTTTAACCATCGATTATTATCATCTCTCTGGTCCCAACCAGGAAGTCGACACCTACCGACATGACTCAGTCCACTTGTCAGTGACTTCATGGATTTCTGCCAGGATTTACGAGCAATGCTTCGGAGACACCTATGATCGGAAATCCAAGAACTAATATTTAGGTCATAAATAAATATACTTGGCTACAATTTATCCAAACAGAATAGAACATTTTATTTCGTTCTGATGTCTAAATTTGATTTTTGCCTTTGGTGTAAAATGCTTTCGCTTCATGATGGTCAAATAATCAGATTTCTAATAAATATAAATTACATTAAACTCTTATATCTAATAAATCAACAAGGTAATTCATTTTCCCTAATATTATTTTCTAATACAGATGTTTTATTCACTCACAATATTAAAAATCGTGAAGGCAGATGAATTAAACTAAAAATTAAGGATAGTAATATAATTTTACTTATTAATAATATTAAAGTTATAAACTAAATTTTATAGATTCATTTGCTTCTTTTTTTTCAATTATATTCAGTAGTAAGTTTTTTTTACTGTAATAAATGTTTTAAAATTTATTCTCCAAAATTGAATGAAATCAATCAAAACATAAATGAAAGCTAAAAAATTAGTTGAGAAATGATTTTTTACCCTAATATGTGCTTCATTTCGGTAAGAAAACATTTTGAATTCAAATGAGCCAAACTATACTTTTACTTCTATTATCATATCTCAGATTTTGAAACTTTTTAAATAGTCCACAACATACATTAATGTAGTCCTAAAAACTTATCTATATAATATCAATGTTTCCTTGAAATTTTAATGACCTTGTAATTTTTAGACCAACTCTACTATACATGATCTTAGCTCAGAGAGCCGAGAAGCCGCACTCGCTTCGGTGGTACACATACTAAAAAAATCTAAAAATCTGTAATTTGTAAACCAACTCTAGATTACTGACTAATAGTGACGTCTTGGTATTGCGAATCCACTATCCCACCTAAGAATATTTAAGGATTGATAGATATCTCAGGTAGCGCTTAGCCTTCATGCTGCTAAGATGGCATCCAATGGTTTACACTTTTAACTTCAGTCAATTCATTAGTCGTCTTCTAGAAAACAGGGTTGATTTTCATGGGTCACAGTCTTTCAAGTGGAAGTCGGGGAATTAATTCTTGGTTGACAAACCAAATGAAAAATAATCTTTCAAATAATCAATTAGATCCTCACAATTCCAAATTATCCTATAGTTTGAAACGGAATCCGTATTTATGAGTTGATTAATACTTTAGAAATAACAACAATCTAACCGAAATTAAATATATATATATATATATATATATATATATATATAGTACATTATTTAAATTCAAACAAATATTTATAGAGAACCATTCCATATTCTTGTTACAGACAATCGAATAGAACATTATTTGACATTGCTCTTGAGTTAAATTTTGTCCAAAAAAGGTAGTTTATAAATGACCTTGTCTAATAATGTTTTGATGAAACTGCATGTCAATACCAATTCATTATTATGATCTTTTAATTAATTAGTCCCTCGGTCAATATCAGCTCTGAGATGCAGAAACACTCAACTGACTTGTCTTAGATAGGATGAAACATGCATTCCGTATTCACCTGCTAGCTACAGTTTATCAATGTAAATAGTTTTCTATGATAGCCAGTTTATGATTCATATAAAATTGAAAATTTCCAATAAGTTTGATGAATTTCAGTAAAACACTTTTCTTGTTGAATTTTTACAACAATCATAACTGTTAAATTACAGGTTAATTGGAACAATTCATGATCACGGTTTTTTTTTATTTTTCCAAGTTAAGTACAATCAATGTATTGTTTACACATAGTAGTAGTATATTGACATTTAGAAATAGATTTTAATTTTATCAGGCCAATATTTTTCTCAATAAATACAATGAAATATTTATTTTCAAAGAAAAAGAATATATATATATATATATATATATATATATATATATATATATATATACATAGATAGCCATTTTAGGTGTTTTATTTTTGTTCTTTCTTTAGTTCAGATTAAAGATTTAAAAAAAAAATAAAAATAACTTTGAACTATAAATTAAATTCACTTTGACAATTTCACTTTTGCATTACGGGGTTGTGAAGATTGTTATGTTACACATTTTTTTGAAACCATGGATCGGTGAATGTTAGACCACCATTAGAAACCTGGAAGCACTGGATGGCCGTTTCGTCCTGGTATGGGACTCCTCAGTAGTGCGCATCCACGACTCCTGCACCCGGCAGGATTCGAACTCGGGACCTTCGATATTGTGCGCGAACGCCCTAACCGTTAGACCACTGAGACGGTATCTAAGGTCGTGGATGCGCACTACTGAGTAGTCCCATACCAGGACGAAACGGCCATCCAGTGCTTCCAGGTTTCTAATGGTGGTCTAACATTGATCGATTCATGGTTTCAAAAAAAATTTCACTTTTATGTGATGAAATGAATATATGTATATATATATATTTTTAAAATTACCATTGAAACGATTAAAAATGTCTCTTCTTTAAACTTACTCTCATATTATTTCGTTCAGCTTTCAAATCATCGATTTCATCACATCTTTCAATTAGTTGTTCTTCAACTGTTGTAAGTTTCTTTGACATTTCAACAATATCCTACAATATAATTGACCAAAAAAAGAAAAAAAGCAAGCTTAACATAACAAAACAAATGAAAAGTTGTTTAGTATAATAATAATAATAATAACAATAATAGTAATAATAATTCTCAAACAAATATCATAGTTTTCAATTAAAGTTTTCGATAAAATTATTTACTTCTAAATATTGTTATCAATTTAGAAAATTATTCATTTAGAATAAAAGTAGATGTTTTTTTTAAAAGCATATCATATTACTAACTAGTAACTGGTATTAAAGTAAATAACAGAAAATTTAATTATTCATTGCTAATTTTACGATTTGTTTATCAGAGGTTCTCAATGCAAGTTCATTGCTAAAATTTACTAGAATATAGTCTAAATATGTTCACTAACCAGTGATTTAACATCTCTTTAGATATTGATTCTTAGAAAATTTCTGAAACATGTTAAAGCCGGCCTGTAATGTATACTATCCTTAAAGTTATGTAATCTACAATATTCACTGTTACCTATACAATGAATTATGTGGTTAATAGTGACTAACTTTAAGACTGATTTCACAGTCCTCGTGAAAGATCATGATTAGTTGAGTTCACTCATGCTGACTGTAAAATATTTATTTATCAATGACTTGGCTACTTCTTACGCTGTGTAGAAAATTGATTAAAGTTGGAAACGTGAATCATTCGATTTAAACTCAGTAGTTTGAATGTGATGCTATTTTTGGATCTACTGGTTTCGATTCCTGTTTGAATTATAATAGAGAAAAATAGCAATTATATGCACCAGCATAGTTAACGTCGCTGATTTTGAAGCTGGGTGATACGAAATGCAATCCACCAAGTAGTATCAGTTTCCTCAGGACTAAAGGTACACCTTGTCAAATACATTGAAACCCAGGTCCAGATTTTCTTGCTGACTACATCCAACCATCACCTTACAATTTCAACATAATGCATCCGATGTCTAAACAACTAGACCAGTGATCACATTACAACTAGATCGATGGAATTCGATCAGCATTAACAAAGACATGATAAACATAACATTGATCACTACTCAGTGATTAGTCAATTCTTAATGGTGCATGCCATTCAGTAGTCCACTAGTTGATGTCTCTCCGGGAACGATTTACATCACTGAACTGGGTGAAACTTTAACGACTGATCAACGAGGTTGACATCTTTTGTCTCGTGAATTTAAAATAAACCATTTTAATCACAAAACAAATTTCGCACCCTTTTCGATTTTCTATTTTAGACACAGTCTCTTTGAATTAATGTTTAAGGCAATCAACTTACTGTATTTTTAAAACAAATCCAAATGCCATTAGGCTTTGAAAGCTTTTCACTAACCGAATGGATCATACCGGTAACTGATTCAGAGAACCATATTTATAAAAAAATTAAACTCGTTGTTTTTAAACAACTTTTAATTTTATTACGTCCGAAATGGCATACTTTGTCAGTTCACAAGATGTATTTATTGAATCATTTCTAGTATACAACAGTACATCGCTATAAGCATGATTTTAGATTTTAAATTATATTATGGCAATATTTACATCACCATTTTTAACTTACAAAATACATTAAAACAATGCGCAATTTTTTAAGATTATTGAATTTTTTCACGTTGCTTCATTGTTTCGCAAAACAACAAATATATTAAAATAAAATAACTTCATAAAGTTTTGAAGATACATTACTTTATTTGACGTTCAATAGTTTTACTAAGAAAAATACTTCGTAATAAAATCAGTTTACTTAAAATTAGGCGTGGAGCATAACATTTATTGAAATCGATACAAAATGTCAGTCAAAACTAGTACTGTAACAAAGATAGGTTGAAAAAAGTTTTTTTTATTAGTTAAGTACATTCTCAAAGTTTAAGGTGAAATGACGACCTAGGACTTCACTGATTCGAGCATGAGTAATATAAGATATCAATTTCTTTCAATAATCATGTATAACATGTAATCACATGTTAAGAAATAATCACATTTGTTACAGACTAATAATTTTATAATATTGCCGAAGACAGTGAGTGAGGTTGATTAATATCTCGGATTGATTAAAGTTCGATATTAAGACCGTCGGATGCCTGCTAAGTGGTTCACACGCCAGATCGAGGGTCCTAGGTTTCATTCTCGCAGCGCCAGTCATGGATGCATACTACTGATGAGTCTAGGACAAGATGACCGTCTAGTGCTCTCAGGTTACTAATAGTAGTCTAACAATGATCGATTCACGATTTCAATAAAACTCAACACAACTCTCAAATGAAAATAATATTATTTACTCATAATTATTTGGTAACTTATTGATCAATTGAAGTCTTACAAACTTGAATGCTGATCGGAATATCCATGAGTCATATAAAAAATAGTGGATTCAGGCATTCTATTGCTTTATTTTGGTGATTAAATAAATCCATGTTAATCATTTTCGCGTTTTTTAATTGTGTCATCCGAATCACATTGTCCAGTAGCAAGTATCAAGTCAGTTAAGTTTTCCATCAATGTAACACAGCACAACGACTATTAACAATGTGTTTGTGAAGAAAACATTTACTGAAAATCGCTACAAAATTATAGGGAAAAATTCATTCTTAATAAAAGATATAGGTGTTGATGTCTTTATCATTTATCACTAATATTTCTTAGACATTATATATATATATATATATATATATATATAAACTTAAAACTAAAATTCAGAGTACTGTCTATGTGCAACTGTGAAGTTTTAAGGATGAATTCATCAACAAGCAAATTATTCACTGAATCAACTCACTAGATACACTACATACATCTATGCAAATTATTTACTTTATGACAATTTACAATTTTCGCTTATAGATTTTGCTTTCATTACAAGATTCAACAGAAACTGGTTTCCTTTTTTTTTAAAGTCAATTTTGGAAAAACAATTTGTCATGAAATAATTTTTATAACGAATATTCAATGATGAAAACATTTTATTAAATCCAAAAGCAAAAGTATGCAAGCAAATTTTTCTGCAGGAAGTTGTAATTGTTGTTGGTGTTTTTGATAACAATAATAATAATTATTATTATCATTATTATTATTAATAACAATACAGTTCATTTTTAATACACCACCAATAGTTTAAATGTTTAAGAGAAACCAGTTTATGTTGTTTTAATTGACCAATAGAGTTCAACCCTGTCGGGTATAGGCAGTAACTACCAAAGACAAGTGGGTGAGGTCTCGCAAAATCCCTAGATCAATCAGAGTTAGACATTACCACCGTTCGATGCCCACCCAATGGTCCGATGGTTAGGCGTTCGCACACAATACCGAAGATCCCGGGTTCGAATCCTGTGAGGTGCAGGAGTCGTGGATGCGCACTGCTGATCAGTCCAATACCAGGACGAAACGGCCGTCCTTCTGTGCTTCCAAGTTTCTAATGGTGGTCTAACAATGATTGATTGATGATTTCAAAAATTTGTAAAAAACACTAATCTCCATAACTTTAATTGAAAATATGAAATTAAAAATAAATCCAGCAAAGAAACAAAATGTAGTGGTATTGAAGCATTAAATGAATTATTTAATCTATTACTGGTAAAGTTAAGACATTTTTAGTATCTCAATGTCAGTGTTATGAGATATATGGTTGAAAATGTCTTCACTAGGGTATTTAATAAACGTTTAATTTTCAACAGATTTTCCAATAGGTACAACCCCATGTTAAGATTATTTATAAATGATAGATATTCATGATTTAATTGTCTTGAAATAAAAATTTTTTCAGTCTTGATATTAATATTTTAAAAATAATGAATTTATATGTTAGACGATGCATTCTCATAGCTAACACTTACGTGAATGATTGATTTTTTTAAAGAAAATCTATCCATATGGGTTATCATGAATTTTGTATGAATTTTATAAAATAACATTTCGATTTATGTCAAGTAGACAATATCTTTTAGATTATAATACACTTATAGAATGACGTTAAATTTATGTATCCACAAATGGCTGAGTAATAAACTTTTGGAATTATTAAACTAGTTATAAATACTAATCTCTACCATAAATATTAATCTATAAAATTCAGGCTAATTTTACTATGACAGTAATGGTAAGATTCATTCAGTTAAAAATTGTTGTATGTCGTTTCATCTAGCACAATCAACACAATAAGATAGGTTTCCAAGTCTAAAACGAATTGAACAACATCAGTAGTGTAACACATATATTCTTTGACGTAAGATGGATGATAAAGAGACAAATGCCATTACAAACCTTTATACGATATATCGACGGATCACAAGTAAACTGAAACTGCGAATAATTTTAGAAGCTTTAGTGGCAAGGTAATCCTAATGTATTATTTGTCTTATACACTTTACGTAAATAAACTTGACATCCTCGTGAACCGAAATACAACGTTTTAATGATTCTGATACAGATGAAATCATTCCAATGATCACAATAACCATTTGATTAAATTGGATATATATATATTCTATTTTGGAAATTCCTATCTTAAACTTGTAAAGAAATGCTGACTAAAGGAAATTAGTACATTTGTAAAGGCAGTCGAATTTTCGTGTTAGGTAGTGATATACTCAGCACTTCACAAGCAACAGTTACAATAAAGTGAGTTGATAATTTGGAATTAATTTTCCGACGTCAGACTCCTTTTAGATTTGAGTAATTAAATAAAATTAAGGCGAACTTCTCAGGATAAGCCTATATCTACTAGTTAAAAATTGCAAAATAAGTCATTTCAGTATACTTTAAACAAAATTTATTTCATTGTTATTATGAAACGACCAAATTTAAACCACCTTAAGAAACCCTGGAAGCACTGAACAGCTGTTTCGTCCCAGTGTGGAACTCGTCAGCAGTGAGCATCTGTGATGTCATTAATTGGTATTCGAACCCAATACCTTCCGCCTCGTGCGTGAATACTTGACATCTAGATTACTGAACCGGTATCTAACGGTGTTAATGTCTAACTTCAGTCAATCCACTATATTGCGCAACCTCATCCACTATCTTTGATGGGAAACTGTTGCACGCTTGACACGATTTAACTCTCTTAGTCATGGCCTCTCATTAGAACTCCGAGAATTTCCTAACGAAGCTTGTCACTAGTGGTTACATGATAATTTTCATTATGGGTTGTGGAGATTGTTGGAGTTTGTCGAAATCATAAATCGATCAGTGCATTCACCTATGAGATGGAAGGTTGTATAATGTGTATTAGCGTTCTGGATGAACATTGTTGACTAGTCCTAAACGGCAGTCGAGCATTGATCGACTCATGATTTCAATAAAACTCATCAATCTCCACTTCGACATAACATAATTCTTTTCAAACAGAAGATTATGTGTTGATACGGTCATAGAATACTTTGAAACTCCACTAAAATAAATGCAAGTGAGCTATAAATTAAGTAGTGAAATTTTTCTCTAACCATCTTCGAACATTTTACAGTGTGTTGCTGTTTAGCAGATTCACTACACTACTTTTGAAGAAGATATCATTCTGTAATTATCACTAATCAGTTGCAATGTTTTACAATAATGTACATTATAGAAATAATTAAAATGAACTAAGTTCTTGTAAATTTACTGATATAATTAGCATAAATTTCTAGACAAATTACAAATCACTGGCAATCATCCCACTTTTATTACAAGTTTCTCAAGAGTACTTAACCCTAATATCAATAAGGATTATAACAGATGTTCTGGATTCTCTCAACGATTCAAGTTTACTGACTAGCATAATTTAGTTCCATTAAGTAATGTACAGAAGCATTAATTCTTTCCAAGTCATTTGAATTCTACAGAGTTACATATTAACATTGATTCAAGCTATTTTGATGATTACTGTGATTAGGTAGAACTCAATTTGGAAATTCTTGTGTAAATATATTAATAAATAATTACTTTTAATTAATACGTATCAAAATTGTAGTTTCTGTTGAATACAATTGTTATCTTTCGACTTATAATTATACAATATTTTTCCACCTACCATTATGTATTCCATGACTTGAGTAAATTACAAAATGATTTTAGCATGGAAAGTCAAACAATTTCATAATTAACAATTATATCAACTATCTTATATTACCATTTCATGTCATAAAAATTGAAATAATCGTACTAGCTTAAGGAATTTGATTCATTCCAATCAAGTCAAACTTCTCTTTATGATCGAGTTGATATAAAGTGTGCAACAAATCAAATCGTTAAAATGTAAACATTTATTGAATCGGAATTCAACATTTTTTGATGCCTTACAATAGTGAAGTATATACTTGACATTGGTATAAGGTTACTTTCATTTTCTTTGATGACATTGTTGTATTGTTCTGATACTATAAAAATAACTATGTTATGGGTAATGTGAATCAGCATTGCAATGAATTCATCATTTGCCTGAATCAGTAGCACTTTAAAATAAACCTGCGAACTGATTTCAACTTCATTTTTTCATTAGTACCTAGCTCATTACCAGACGTCAAAATAAAAGTTTAATCAATTTCTAATGCATGCACATACTAACAACTCAAATAAACAACGATACGTGATTATATGTTAACTATCGTTACTCTTTATAGGTGTGATAAACATGTACAGATGTAGTTTAATGCTAAGGTTCTACTTCACGATTTTCGTCAATACTAGGTAAAATTTTCAGCATAACCAGATTTTAACAACATTAAGTTAGATTTAGAAGGCCCTAAATCCATAATATAATAAGAAGTAATCAAGAATATCTAACAAATAGTGTTATTTGCCCTTAATTAAATTAGTAGACTGTTTTTAGTGAAGACACATTGATTTGTTTCCTGACAGCTAGCATTACACTCGCTACAAAATTCTACTAAGTTTGAGAGGATTATTGTAAGATCTTTCGGGATACTACTGATAAGATGGAGTTAAACACTAAATACCTTTTGTGAGAGTATTCGCCGTTAGTTTGACACCGACTTTTATCGCACATCATGACTATTTAAAAAAATAACCAATGAGAAGTAAACAATAAGTAAAAACTATTTAATTTTATCCAAAGATCTTTGAATCATAAACAACAAAATTCAAACTATTCGATGCTTAAATAACGTTAAAACTAGTAGTAAGCAGATTTTCAAAGTTAAATTATAAAGTAATCACAACAAAATGTTTCAACCAAAGGATTAGAACAATGTAAAGAAAAGCCTTATTTGTAATTATCAATAGCATGTGTTGAAAAAGTATGATCAAAGAAAAATGAACTAAGTTCAACTACTCCATGTTATAAAATCTAAGTTTATTTTTGAAATGTAGTTTAGAACTGCCGATATACAAATTTACATATATATATATATATATATATATATATATATATATATATATATATATATATATATATATATATATATATATATATATATTTGTATATATACATATATATATATATATTTCTCTAGATAATTTTTGAAAAGGATTCCAGTTATTTCATTTTAAGACTGAAATCGGATACTGTGTGCTTACTGGTTAAGAAAATCGTGCCATGCTCAAACATTTGTTATTCTCTATCATGTGGTTATAGCTAATTTTTCCCAGTCATATTATATCGTTGTAAGGAACTCACCTGAGGTATTTTAGCTGACAACTGAGCACGAAGTTTGTCGCGTTCTCTTTCAACTTCATTTAGTCGAGTTTTTGTCTCAGTCACTTGTTCTTGTGATTCACGCAATCCTTCCATTAATCTGTCACGTTCATCCAACATGCTAAGTAGCATATCTTCAACATTTGTACCATCTGCACTAACCAGCGAATCTCGATCACCCTATGAATATATGTTAAAAGAATTATTTTAAATAATTATAATAGTGATAATATATACTCTTTTAATTTGTAAATATTACCATTTAAGTAAATTCATAATCCAATCAAATTCAAATTCCTACTTTTATCCCATTTATGTACAGCTGATAAGTTGAAAGATATAAGACTGAATTATTTTACTAAATGACATTTTGAAAATGAAATATACATCATCCTTAACAATCATTTACACATAATTCGTGGATATTTAAGATTTTTTTGATATAAAATTGAATTTAGACAAAACCATTGAAGAATAAGTTGAATTTAGTTTTTAGTGTGCCTATTTACTGCGTGTTCTTATTGTTCGTGATTAGCTCGTCCGGAAAATCGTTACTAACTAGCGTCTGACGATTTATAAATCAGAAGGTGAACACAAAGTATTGAATACGTTTATTTGGGACACACCCCAAAGCGAAGCGGAGAAGCAGTGAGTAAAATGAATGAAGCGACGTAAATTGGAGAAGGCTGCTGAGCCAACTCCAAGAGATAGAGCATGACTAAGAATATATAGTCAGACAAAAATAAGACAGACATGTGACAAGCGAAATGAACATGCACACATATGAATGAAAGCGACGAATGATTGACGAGGTCAAAAGCAAGCGAGACAAGTCATGCGAGTTCATGGGGATATTAAGAGATTAACATTAAAGCGAAAAGGATGAGTAAGCTTATGTGAGTAATCAATGTTCAGTTGTACCAGATCATGAAAACCATACAATAATAAAAACGAATGGTACACGTAAGTTGTTACTATGCAAATGACTTGGTTAAATAAATTAATTGAAAGGCTTCATCAAATTAAATATGAGCGAACTCAAGTTTATGTGGAAGCACTACAAGTTAAAAGAAGAATGTTGTCAGAAGTAGTATGTGTTGAATTTACCTTTGGTTTCACAAAACCATCGTTCATATCACTTTAGTAGTTATTTGGGCACTACTACTTTATAGCATATCAAAATGAAATCATTCAAATAACTAATAATAAGCATTTCGGTATTGTTTAAATCAGTTTTAGTTTTACATCTGTAAGTTTTCACTACATCTATCTACTATCTATGATTAATTGTGTAGCCACTAAACACAGTTTCATTCTACAGGCAAATGTAGTGTGCTTTTAACAACAACAGACAAAACATTGTGTTAATTAAATTATGCTTTTCGAATCTGTATTGATTGTCAGGTGACAAAATCTCACAAAGGTCCATTCACATATTTGCTATCATGACATAATAGCAATAATATTTGACTGCGATTTAACTTTATTTGGTTATAAGGGAAATAATAATTGATTATATAGCGTGAAATCAATGTCGAAGATTCGGAACTAATAATTTCAAATTATTTTGTTATAGAACAAATTTATCGAAATCCTAATTTTGAAACTCCATTTATAAGTTGAACAAAAGGCATAAGATTAGTCCTTCGGCTTTATTAACCAACCGTTTACAGGGTTTCGATCCGATTAGATCAGAAATCAAATTATAAGCTGAATTATAAACTGAATTTTGTTAGAACTTTGGGAATAGAAAAAAAACTTGTGATTTTGTTCAATTAACTGTTGTGTAGAGTTAGATCATGTGAACCGTTGCACATTTTAGCTATGATACGTTATTATAGCTGACAGATTAGAAAAAAACAAATACTGGTTTTCTATTCAGTAAAACCAATATTCTTATCATCATTTGTATGAATCTTCTGAAGTTTTTCAAAAATCATATTCTACATATTTGAATATCCTTTTAAAATAACTATACATGTGTTTGTGTTTTTGTTCCCGTTTTCTAATAAGTCATTTTGTGTTTTACAGACTGTCTTAATACATTTTTTTTTACAGACTTAAGAAAACAGATGAATATAGTTGGAAAACAATCAATTGATTTAGTAATCAGAGAAAATTCTATGGAATTTCCACATATTAAATAACAGGATTAAAACTATTTGAGGATCTTCAGAATCACTGAGCCTACTCTTTTAAAAATTCATTCGTATATTTTATAGCTTAGCTACTATGAAAGAATCACTTATTGGAAGTATTTTATCAAGTATCACTTTGTTTGATACCAAAGCAATACATTGTCAATAAGCAGCATACATTTCTGCTTATAGGTTTCAGGTGTCAAGGACTTAACTATACTGAGTCTTGGATACCTTTACATCAACATGACTATATTAGTTTATATAAAAATAGGGAGAAAATGATAGTTACTGAAGAATTCAATTACTTTTCTACATTTATTTTCCTATTTTTGAAAACCTTTCATGCACATGTTACCATTAGGGTTGTGTTGGAGATAGATATGGCTTTTTTAAAAATTAAGTAGTTTAGTTTTAAAACTGGCAGTTACGTGATTATGAGTGATTCAAGTTCAAATAATATATCTATTAAACTGTTTGATTAGTGGTAATTAACCAAACAGATAGATAAATTATGAATCTGAGTATTTAATTGATGTGAAGTTTACCTGAGATCCAATATCTTCGTTAATTGTTGGCATAACATCACAGATCATTTTTTCCTATGCTACGGATACTCAAAAACCATTAAAGATTGTCACATCTATAAGGAAATAAAAATATAACATAAATATGGTGCGAAAAACGTTTAAGAAAAACATAAACAAAAGATAATCATGTAGGTTAATTGTATGTTTTGCTGGAAAAAGAATATTAAGTTTACAATTGATTTATAAACCAACAGTTTCCGGATTACTAAACACAAATATCGCTAGCAATATTCACTACTCATGATGGGCAGCTAAAGTTTTGAATACTTTCCTAATATTTAGGCAGATCTGCTCGCGACATCTAATTATCAAAAAAATTCTGTAGTGTAAGGAATCATATCTGATTTACCGAATCTCCAAGAAGTTATTAAATATTCTTGAAATTTAATTGCCTATAATAATAAAATTATAACATTATAGTTAATTTGTTCATTTTCAGCCGACAAATGGTTACAAGCTATTCTATTTAACTATATTAAGTCATAATCACTCTTGATGAAGATGCCTTGGAGGACGTTAAAACGTATACATATCTGGGCAGCATCATCGACAACCAAGGTGGATTCGATGTACATGTGAGGGCACGGATTGGCAAAGCAATGGCTGCATTTCTACAGTTGAAAAATATCTGGAACTCCAAACAACTTTCAACCAAAACCAAAATCAGGATTTTCAATACAAATGTCGAGACAGTTCTATTGTATGGAGCGGAAACTTGGCGAACTACGAAAGCCATCATCCAGAAGATACAAGTATTTATTAACAGTTGTCTACTCAAAATACTTCGTATTCGTTGGCCAGACACCATCAGCAACAACGAACTGTGGGAGAGAACAAACCAGATTCCAGTGGATGAGGAAATCAGGAAGAAGCGGTGGAAGTGGATAGGACACACACTACGAAAAGCACCTAACTGCGTCACGAGACAAGCCCTCACATGGAACCCCCAAGGCAAAAGGAAAAGAGGAAGGCCAAAGAATACATTACGCCGAGAAGTAGAGAAAGATATGAAAGGAATGAACAAACACTGGACAGAACTGGAGAGAGAAGCCCAGGACAGAGTTGGTTGGAGAAAACTGGTGGGCGACCTATGCTCCATTGGGGGTAACAGGCGAAAGTAAGTAAGTAATATTAAGTCATTACTTAACGTATGCTATTATCCATCGTAAAACTTTTCAACAAGCATCAGTAGTTCATTACGCGAAAGATCAAACAATCTTTGTTTTAAGTATAATATAGACTTACATGAAGGTCTGCCTCTTAGAATGAGGATTGTGGAATCATTCAGGTGATTGATCTTAAACTAAGTGAAGCCTGTGCTAAAAGTTTCCGTTAGAATGTAGTTTTTTATATTCAATTTATGGTTTTCATTCATCTGCTTTGCCGGTTTTAGACTTCATAGTGTTTCAAAGTACTTTAAACATTATAAACACTGGCTAAGTGGACTTGACTTCACATATAATTGAAAACTGATTTTTTTATGCATAGGACATATGTTTTCTCTCTTTTAATTTTCAAAAGCAGTCGAAATGTACCGTTAAATATCGGCCTACGGAGTAAGTAACTGTTAACAAGTATACACTGTTTGTTTATGCCCTTTTGATTTTACCTACCATTAAACAGTTGGATAGAACCACTAGCCTTGACAGAGTTTATCAAACCGCGTTTTGTCAATGAATTAGCGGTTTTCCCCATGTTAGTAAAGAACAACTGAACGTTTTCATAGAATCTAATTGCGAAATGCAATTTTCGTCAAAATAGTAACCAGTAACAATTGTTACAAACTAAAATATTATACTTAACAGTTTAAAAAGCTTGTTCAATGTGGAGTTAAAGTATATAATGTAGCATGTCGTATATCAAACTACATATCGAATGAACAATGATTTTTTAATGAAACTAAGAACACCAAACCGTTATATTTGACTACCAATAGAATACTAAAATTGCAAGAAAGTGTAATGTATTTCTGTCATTTGGTATTGAACTAAGGCATCAAAATCCATTAAATTCATCAGACTCTAATGATAAAACAAATTGCAAATTTGCATGAAAATACGAGCATTTTTCAATTTATCTCGCTTGTGTAAGTGAGCAGGCATCTAACACAAGATCATTGATACAATAAGGTCAAAACTGTCAAGATCTAAACTGTAAGTCAGTAGTGTGCATGCTTTGTGTTGAGAAGCACACACGAAGTTCGAACCTTAACTAGTAAATGACGAGTTTAGAGAATTAGTCTGCAAGACATTATCTGAAAATCTGGGCACGTAAGCTTAAAGTTAACTTTAGGTAACTGAAAATATAGTGATTTGTTTAAAAATTAACCTCTTCCTTTAACTGTTTTTGAATCAACCTCCCTATCGACGTAAACTAGTACCCCACAAATTTATCCCATATATTTTGATAGATAGCTTATTTTACTTAACTCATTTTGTGTATTATTGTAGAAAGGATTAGTTAGAACCATTTTAGGACACATGATATCATTTATTTTACTAAGAATCACTCAGGTACAAACAAAAAGTTCAAAAATTTCAAACAAAAAATACACTATATAATTAGGAATAAACGTTAATGTCTTTTAATATAATAAATTGTTCATTAAAACACTATAAGGCCGCCTACCCTGAGAAATTAATGTCAGACAGAATAGAGAGTAAACCGTAAAATTGATTATTACCAAGATTGTTGTTGGAATTCCTGGTTTAAATGTCGTCGCACAAAAGTTTATTGAAGGTCGAGACTATAATTTATGAACCAATCAGTCACATTTGCGGTGGCAAGTCTAAGATTTTGGCGCGAAGTTTATTCACTTATTTATATAGCTGTGGTGTACACTAATATGTTGAGTCTACATGGTTTTCACGGCCTTTGTACAAATTCTTCTCCGGTTAGCATTTAGACTTCTTGCGACCATGTAAGTCACCCTCCAATAACTGTTGTGGTTACTAACTTAGTGCGTGCATGAACTGATGCTCATTGCTCACGTTACCTATAACATGTCTGGCTTATCTTTGTCTCGCCATAAATACTTAGACATGCTTGATCATAACCGGTTGGTCTACTCGACTTCGCTGCGCTACCCTGCTTTTCCCCACTGTCATGTCTGTTTGCCTATAATGTGTATGAAATAAAATAATCTAAAATAAACCCTATTTAGCTTTTCGTTACCGTCGTTGCATAATGAGGTTAGAAGAAATGTAATATGCGAAAAATAAAAGGAAGATTTTTTTCATAGCATATATGTTCTTGTGAATCGGAGTCATATTCCAGGCCAGTAAAGTAACATCGCCTTTGGCAGTTTGAAAATATTTCAAGCATCCAACATCCAGCATATTTTTCATGAGCTAGTACAAACCAGTCGCTTCGCTTCTGGTTCCTTCGTTACGGTTCCAGATATTTGTTAATGTCTAATCAATGGTAGCTCAGCAAGTTTACTGCACTAATTCTAGTCCTTTGGTAGTTATTGGTGAATTTGTATGTATCATGATGTGCATGAGCGTGTCTGCCTCAAGGAAGTAGGAATCATGGATACCAGCAGCTATCACATTATAGGGTCGAAGATCAGTTTGTTGCAGTGTGGAGAATGGCAAAGAGAAAATTTTAAGTGACAAAAGGATAGGAAAATCCCATAACTATGTAAATTACTATATAACTTAATTACAGGTAACAACGATTGTTCAAGATGACAGAAGTGTCAGCGAAGAAGAGTAAACAGGGATAATAGGCAAGATGCAATAAGTTAGTGATCTGAAGAAATGCCAGTGAAGACAGCTAGCAAGCTTTGAGACATACTAGTCCAAGTGAGAGATGAAAGTCCGTATGTAAATATGAGTTTATCGAGTCTCTTTACAGTCATGCATTTAGGGGCTGCTGTCACTTCAACTGAGAGAGCACTTCAAGTCGAGATAACTCTTAGTGGGAAAATATGAGAACGTACTCGGGTGTTTACTGTTTGGTGTGCAATTTTTTGAGTGTTACCTCGAGGGATGTAGTGCTGATGTTCCGACAAGATACTCATTTTATGATAATTTAATTTAATATGTTGTAAGCCATCATTAGATCACCTCGGATTTGCCTCCAACTTATAGCTGATTATCTCAAGCACCGGAGTCTGTCTTCGTAAGTCTGAGTGCCACGACGAGATTGTGAACTTATAAATCTGGCCATTCCTGTGGGTTAAGGACAATGCCGGTGTGATTGCACTACGTTGTAAAAAGTGGTGGGTCTCACTAGCCCCAGCTTCATTCCTTTTGTGGTTCAAAGAAGTGTTTAAGCTTATTGTGGCTATTAGATCAATATTGCGCTCTAAAACGAGATTAAAAAGCGGACTTTCATTGAGAAAGTGAGCTATTTGTATCGCAAGGGGGGAAATGTTCATGACATTTCGACAAGCAAAGTTTTAACCCAGTGTTTACTTCCTATTCCTTCATTGTCTTGACAAACACATTTGAAACTAAATTTAAACGATTTAAATTTGGCTAATTTTATTGAGGGATTATTACAACGGCATATGATTTATTATATGCAATTAACAATCACAATAAATTGACACCGACACTGATACCAGGAAAAAAGCCGATCGTCGACTGAAGTATTGATAAACTTCAGGCGGTTGTCTTAATTTTAACTTCAACAGGCAATTCATGTAATTAAATTGCACAAAGTTTTCGAGACCTTTAATTTTATTCCGAATAGTCATACTGTCGATTCGTTTAATTCTGGTTATAAATCAGAAAGTATAGTCCAAATTCATTGGCACTAGTCTAAGTATTCAAAAATTTCCTACATATAATTAAGTACAAAAGCTCGTATGAAACACATAAAATACATGATTTCATCACTTGTCCGATACTCAAAGGTCTGCTACAAAACGAAATCGACTGTCATCATACGTTGGTACATTCAAACAAAGCCACTTGAGATATTTTGAGTACATAATTTCCTTCAGCAAACAAATAATACCCATGCGGAGCTGACTCTTAATGTGAGTTCTTAAACAAATCAAGTTGTAAAATATATGGATGCAATGACCTGAATTAGTTTGAAGGGATGAATCAAAATGCGAATCTTATAAGAAGCAAGATAAAGCAAAAGATATGTAGCTTCCCAGGTATTAGTAAATCACTGTGCTCAGGCAAACGCGTCAATAATACCAGTACGATGGTTCATATAATTTGCTGTTATACAAATGACTCTGTCTATTCAAATATCCATTATATTTTTCACGAGCTAGTATAAACCAATTAATTTCTGTGCGCTCGATTCTTGTACTTTCGGTACGGTTTTAGGTATTCAGTAGTGCCCAATGAATTGGGGTCTAGCCACTCGACTGTCTGATTCTAGTTAGTTGGCAGTTGGTTGTGAGTTTGTATATCTCGGGATTTGAATGAAAACGTCTGTTTTAGGGCAGTTAGTCGCAATGTGGAGAATAACAAGCTAAAATTTTGATTCTGATAGGAGTAAGATTTCAGGACTAAGTATATAATGGATAATTTAATTTAATAATTTGCAGACAAGATTGTACGAGAGAACCGAAGTGTAAGCAAGAGAGAAAAACGGAGATAATATGCAAGACAGATTAATTTAATCATCTGGGTCTCGAGACATGCATCAGGCACAGCTTGTCCACGAGCGAGTAGCTAATCCAGATGTGCGTACATGATTATCAAGTCTGTTCTTGAAGCTGTCCACTGAGGGGCTGTGGTTACCTGCAATATAAGTGTTCTGTACTTGGGAGAGCTAATTTTCGAAATCTGTGGTTATATTTGCAGGTTTCAATTGGATTTCATATTTGACTTAAGCATTTGTAGTCTACAGATACGTCAAGATCTATCGAGTAAGTTATCACATGTCTGAACATATGTTGTTCGTGATCGATATGTATATTATTCTTTACAGTGTTGAGAGTTGTTGATCGTTCTCTAGATACAACCATAAAATCCATTTGCTTCTCATTTATTTGCACAACGTTGACAAGGAGTTACATTTAGAGTGAATATTACATTAGATATGGGACTGATGAGTTAATATTTTTACTCAAATGAACGAATTGTGTGGCTTTGTTACGGCCACTAAATTGAAACAAGAAGGGCCATGTTTACTAGTCCAATTTTTAACTGTGAAAGATGAGCTGGCGCCTGCGTGTCTGTGCGATTATTATATTCAAGAAAAAAAATGAACTATTCCGCAAAGTCGCTTACCCTCAGTTGGTGCTAGTATCTGTAAATGAGCGTATTTCAAGGCAAAAGCAAATACGATATTATTTCTTTTGTATATAAGAAAATGATGTAAAAGCATTTTGTTACTGTGTAATTGTTAGCACTTACTGTGAATTTACATTCACAATTGATGACTGTAGGTTAGCACTGTAAAAATCCCTCCGACGCTCGATATCTCTTTCATAACCGTGGTGTGTCATTTTCTCGTTACTTACGATTCGTTCTTCGAAGTGTCAGTGCAAATGCAACTGCATGTGTCACGGCTGTGCTAGTTGGTATGTGTAATGAAATGGTGTTCTGATAAAAGTGATTTGAATTGTGGCCAACTTCATGGTTATTCGATTGCGAATTATTGATCTTATTAGTTCAACAGCATAGATCTCTCTCTTCATCATCATCACAGCAAGAACTACGATACTCACACACTAACACGTGTGAAACTTACACTCACAATTATCACAGTAAAATGTGATACTCCAAACATCAAGCTATTGTTTGCAGTGTGATGACACACAACGCACTTCTAATATTCGTTATTATAATATCAAGGAAAAGTGATAGAATTTATCGTGAATGTGACCTCATTGAAGGGGTGACATGTTCACATGTGTACATTGCGCAACGAGAAGAATGCGAATGAAACCACAAATATATTGAACTATTTTGTAATATCTGTCAATGCTCCTGTGTAAATGTTGTCAACAATGGTGAATTCACAGTCACAACGTCTTGCTCTCCATCGTGTCTGTGCGATTATTATATTCAAGAAAACAAATGAACTATTCCGAAAAGTCGCTTACTCTCAGTTGTTGACGTAGTTTCTGTAAATATGCGTATTTCAAGGCAAAAGCAATACGATATTATTTCTTCTGTATATCAGACAATGATGTACAGCATTTTGTTCCTGTGTAATTGTTAGCACTTACTGTGAATTTACATTCACAATTGATGACTGTAGGTTAGCACTGTAAAAATCCCTCCGACGCTCGATATCTCTTTCATAACCGTGGTGTGTCATTTTCTCGTTACTTACGATTCGTTCTTCGAAGTGTCAGTGCAAATGCAACTGCATGTGTCACGGCTGTGCTAGTTGGTATGTGTAATGAAATGGTGTTCTGATAAAAGTGATTTGAATTGTGGCCAACTTCATGGTTATTCGATTGCGAATTATTGATCTTATTAGTTCAACAGCATAGATCTCTCTCTTCATCATCATCACAGCAAGAACTACGATACTTACACACTATCACGTGTGAAACTTACACTCACAATTATCACAGTAAGATGTGATACTCCAAACATCAAGCTATTGTTTGCAGTGTGATGACACACAACGCACTTCTAATATTCGTTATTATAATATCAAGGAAAAGTGATAGAATTTATCGTGAATGTGACCTAATTGAAGGAGTGACATGTTCACATGTGTACATTGCGCAACGAGAAAAATGCGAATGAAACCACAAATATATTGAACTATTTTGTAATATCTGTCAATGCTCCTGTGTAAATGTTGTCAACAATGGTGAATTCACAGTCACAACGTCTTGCTCTCCATCGTGTCTGTGCGATTATTATATTCAAGAAAACAAATGAACTATTCCGAAAAGTCGCTTACCCTCAGTTGTTGACGTAGTTTCTGTAAATATGCGTATTTCAATTAAAAAAAAAACGATATTATTTCTTCTGTATATCAGACAATGATGTACAGCATTTTGTTCCTGTGTAATTGTTAGCACTTACTGTGAATTTACATTCACAATTGATGACTGTAGGTTAGCACTGTAAAAATCCCTCCGACGCTCGATATCTCTTTCATAACCGTGGTGTGTCATTTTCTCGTTACTTACGATTCGTTCTTCGAAGTGTCAGTGCAAATGCAACTGCATGTGTCACGGCTGTGCTAGTTGGTATGTGTAATGAAATGGTGTTCTGATAAAAGTGATTTGAATTGTGGCCAACTTCATGGTTATTCGATTGCGAATTATTGATCTTATTAGTTCAACAGCATAGATCTCTCTCTTCATCATCATCACAGCAAGAACTACGATACTTACACACTATCACGTGTGAAACTTACACTCACAATTATCACAGTAAAATGTGATACTCCAAACATCAAGCTATTGTTTGCAGTGTGATGACACACAACGCACTTCTAATATTCGTTATTATAATATCAAGGAAAAGTGATAGAATTTATCGTGAATGTGACCTAATTGAAGGAGTGACATGTTCACATGTGTACATTGCGCAACGAGAAGAATGCGAATGAAACCACAAATATATTGAACTATTTTGTAATATCTGTCAATGCTCCTGTGTAAATGTTGTCAACAATGGTGAATTCACAGTCACAACGTCTTGCTCTCCATCGTGTCTGTGCGATTATTATATTCAAGAAAACAAATGAACTATTCCGAAAAGTCGCTTACTCTCAGTTGTTGACGTAGTTTCTGTAAATATGCGTATTTCAATTAAAAAAAAAATACGATATTATTTCTTCTGTATATCAGACAATGATGAACAGCATTTTGTTCCTGTGTAATTGTTAGCACTTACTGTGAATTTACATTCACAATTGATGACTGTAGGTTAGCACTGTAAAAATCCCTCCGACGCTCGATATCTCTTTCATAACCGTGGTGTGTCATTTTCTCGTTACTTACGATTCGTTCTTCGAAGTGTCAGTGCAAATGCAACTGCATGTGTCACGGCTGTGCTAGTTGGTATGTGTAATGAAATGGTGTTCTGATAAAAGTGATTTGAATTGTGGCCAACTTCATGGTTATTCGATTGCGAATTATTGATCTTATTAGTTCAACAGCATAGATCTCTCTCTTCATCATCATCACAGCAAGAACTACGATACTCACACACTAACACGTGTGAAACTTACACTCACAATTATCACAGTAAAATGTGATACTCCAAACATCAAGCTATTGTTTGCAGTGTGATGACACACAACGCACTTCTAATATTCGTTATTATAATATCAAGGAAAAGTGATAGAATTTATCGTGAATGTGACCTCATTGAAGGGGTGACATGTTCACATGTGTACATTGCGCAACGAGAAAATGCGAATGAAACCACAAATATATTGAACTATTTTGTAATATCTGTCAATGCTCCTGCGTAAATGTTGTCAACAATGGTGAATTCACAGTCACAACGTCTTGCTCTCCATCGTGTCTGTGCGATTATTATATTCAAGAAAACAAATGAACTATTCCGAAAAGTCGCTTACCCTCAGTTGTTGCTAGTATCTGTAAATGAGCGTATTTCAAGGCAAAAGCAATACGATATTATTTCTTCTGTATATCAGACAATGATGTACAGCATTTTGTTCCTGTGTAATTGTTAGCACTTACTGTGAATTTACATTCACAATTGATGACTGTAGGTTAGCACTGTAAAAATCCCTCCGACGCTCGATATCTCTTTCATAACCGTGGTGTGTCATTTTCTCGTTACTTACGATTCGTTCTTCGAAGTGTCAGTGCAAATGCAACTGCATGTGTCACGGCTGTGCTAGT